TCGTCCAAATGCCTTGGAAGGCCAGCAGGCTCGATTGTCAGCGTTAAGTCCTGTTTAAAGTCCCGCTCGCGTTGTCCGCCAATGGCACAAAGCGACCACCATACGAGACAAATCTCTTTGAGGAGGGTTTTCAATCGCTCTACTCTATGTTGATTTCAATCTTCTTGCGCGTGTACTTCGGCTTTTGTGGCTGAACGGGCGCAAGTGTCAGAGTTTGTGGAATGCACCGCATGCATTCGGAGATGTTCCAAAATGCTTCTTTAAGCACGCTTTCGGCTTCGCTCCGCTGCCACGAGGAAAAGATGTCTGAGGGCCGTGATTGAAGGTTGTTGTCTGTGTTTTCACGACGGAGACATGACATCACAACAATGTCAACATGAATGAGGCTTTATTTGGCATGTTTCATTTTGACCAGTTGATCGGATGATTCATTTGTCAACATCAGCTTTTTTGCTTGGCGATTTAAAAGAATTTGAAGACCGGAGACCCACTCGTTCGCCCGGGGCGGGTTGAAGAATGAAATTTTTGATGAAACGTGGATGCGGACGTTCATTGCGACAGAAACACTTCCGTATAAATGATTGAAAAAATCATTTGCATCGTATTATTCGACAGACCTGTGATCAAATCATGGGTATCAATTGGCATTGAACCCTGTGCAAGATATTGGATTGAATCTACACCTTGATCACAACAGCTAAAGGAAATGCATGCTGCTTCGCCCCGAGATAGCGCTGTATTGTAAGCACATGCCGCACTCGTTGAAATTTTTCTTGTTTTGCTTGACCTTGCCACAGCAGTTGTCATGATCGCGACCGTAGTCTGTAATGAAGGCTTTCAGCCATTGAAAGAATTTGTTTTGCCCACCGACGCCGCCCTGGGAAAGTTGTTGTCGGCTCCTGAATAGAAATGTCAGTAATTCAATACTGCTAGCCCCCAAAACCGAGGTTTTTTGCTAAGGGCTAGGTCGATGACTCTCTATTGCTATTGCATGCTTGTTTCGCAGTGGCGCCAAAAGTGGCTTGCGAGACGGAATGAAGAACTTTTAAACATAGCTCGCAACATCGCTAATTGTTGAACTTTAAATTCGTTATTTAGTTGGCACAATGCTCTGCATGATGAAGATGTGGACCCCCACTCTGACAGTCGCACAGCTACGTCTTAAAACAGACAGACTCGTTGCTACGTGGGACAATCCGGCAGAAAAGCTAACATTAGAGCAAACCCTGACCAAAGGTTTGGCAATGCTTCACCGTAATCCTCGATTGACCCGGACTTTCAGTGCCTTTGTTTGAAGCCCTGCAGCCAAAGTTTGGGCCGTTTTTGGCAATGTTCCAAGTCTACCGACTTCCAAGCAGCATCCAACAAACGCATTTAGCAAGATATTGGAAGATGCTCCCACGACGACATGATGTTGCTATGTTTTGCATGTGACACTCGTGCCCTGCAGGTTGACAATTGAATGTGACATTCATATTGAATGTATGTCATGCTGCTTCCGCACAGTGTCTTGCTCTTGGCACTGCTGCAGAGGCTCAAGATTTGCGCATGCGCACATAAGATTGTGTTTCGTCCGGCAGCATCTTTGCAACATGGGGCCTGATTCTTAAAAGCAGATGAAAGCGTCAGGTTCGCTTGTTCATGCTTCAGCACATTCCTTCTGGACACGTGCATCCTGCTTTATCTTGCTCGCCATAAGGTCTGCAGCATCCACCGATGTCAAAAATGAGATCCAGGCAAAGTCAGTCGACGAGATCGCTGCAGCATTGAAGGACGTGGACATGCTGCCACATTGTTTTTTCAAGTTTCCGAGCCAATTACACTGCCGAGCTGCTTCGAGTCGAGTGTGGACGGGCGATGACGGTAGCAGACCTCGGTTGTGATGAACTCCCGCATCATTCTGCACGGGCTGATGCCAGAATTCGTGCTTGTAGGAGCTGCCCGCCGATCAGCTTGCAAAAGTGAAGGATGCTCTCGCAACAGGCGCTGCGACAGTCTTGGACCGTGTTGGAGGACAAAGTGCCAGCGCTGTTGAACAGGTGGCCCTGCCAAAGGCTGTCGGCCAGAACATTCGAGTGATTGTCACCGTTTCGCTCAAAGAACGTCTTGAAAGCCTGCAGAGTCGTAAATTTGGCAGGCCCATGCCCTGGCCCGGTGGACACTGGTCGCATTACTGTCGTCGCCAAGGACCGGCCAGCCGGATTTGCACGAGCTTGCATTTTCCAGGATTCTGTGCCTGTCGGCCTTAAGGAAGACAATCTTTAGGACATTATGGGGAGACTGCGAAAGTGTCGTGCAGGACTATAAGGGCCTGCTGGCACAACCTGCAGAGCCAAAGTTCAAGGGGGCGCTCTGCCAGATCTTTGTGCGTAGCCAGCCTTATGGAGGCAGGAGCGGGTCTGAGTGTGACCATCTCGTCCCTCGACGGGGAGCGCATGGGCAGGTTCAGACAAGAGCAGCAACGGTGCAGATCTCGGTGATCGAGTCGAAAGAGTTGAGAGTTGAGAGCGAGCTAGAGCGAGCAAGCATGCCACCTGTCTGTGTGTTCACTCGCACAGGTCACCGGTATGATTCCATGGTGTTCGCCAACGGCATGATCGCCAGTGGCATGAGCTGCCAGCTGTTTCTCATCTGACAATGCCTTCTGGTGGCCAGGGATGCTGTTGTAAGATGTCTCATCGTTGCATCTGCAAACGACTGCTAGACTAGACCTCAGGATCCACTACACGCACGAGGAGCACGATGTCTTTTTCGAGCTGTGCAAGGGCTTCCAGTTCATCATCGTCCGTTGCAACCCAGGCAAGCGGGCAGTGGCATCGGTGGTGGTTGTGATGGTGGTGGTGGTGGTCGTGATGGTGAGGTTTGTAGCGATGGTTACTCACGCAAGGTTGTTCTGTCTTGCAGGTCAGATCAAGGCAGATGGCGGCGATCAGCAGAAGTTTGATGACGGCATGCGTCAACTTCGAAAGGCTGGCATCCAGGTGGGCAGAGCTTATGCATGTCCCGTGTGGAATTCTCCCTTTAAGCAGTCATGCAATCCTTGATGGTCTAGGTGTGGCGATCCCCAGACTTGTTTCCTTCTTTTCTGCCGCAGTAGCGAAAGAAGCAACAGCCGGACTCCCTAAACGGGCGAGAGACCCCGAAGCTGTCGAGCCAAAGCCGAGAGGTCAACGTAGTTGACTTGAAAGGTGTGGCCGTCTCCGGACGTGATGGAGAAGATGGGCGCTAAGGACGCCCTGTGCAAGGCCGGAAGCTCCTGGACGCAAGCCTGAAACCCACTGTCAGGGTGAGATCTTACTCTACAGTGCCGTGCGCAGGTGGCCACACTGAACATTGGCCTGGAGGACACCCTGGCATACTATTCGCCAGAGGACTTCGCTCGGGCCCGAGAAAGCCGCAGGTGGCCTGTGCGGTGTTTGGCTGCAGCATCGTAGCACTCACGATCCAAGGCCGCGGGCTTCAAGAAGACCATGGCCTTCCAGCCGCGCGTGATCAAGCAGAACCGCGGCTCCTCTGGCGAGGGCATCTGGATCATCAAGCTGGCCGAGGGCAACTACTGCAAGGAGTACGGTGAGCGGTCCTGCGAGGATGGCGAGGTCCTGAAGCTGATGGAAGCGAACGACAACCACGAGGAGACCCACACCGTGGCCGAGTTCATCGAGTTCTGCGTCAGCGGCCGCTCGGACAAGTCCGGCGAGTGGACCTCCAAGGGCGTCGGAAAGTACCTCGAGGGCGGCAAGGAGGCCGGTGGCCAGCTCGTGGACCAGCGCTTCTGCCCGCGCATCGTGGAAGGCCGGCTCGGGGCTTTGTCTGTGGCTCTGTCGTAGCAACACAGGCGAGAATAATGAGTCTTAGCGGTGTTGTGCAAGAACTAAGAGCTTGGAGGAGAGCTCCGCTACAACCTCATCGTGGACTCGCTGGTGGGCATCATCCACAAGAAGCCCAAGGAGGGCGGCATCTCCGCCGTGGGCGGCACCGGCTCCATTTACACTTACTACGGCCCCGAGGAGGCTACCTTCAAGACGCTGACCGACAACTTCCTGCAGAAGGCCCGTGAGGGAACACATATACATGCTTAGCTGCATAGCCGTTCCGAGTCCTTGTGTCGAAGCATGTCGTCTCAGGATCTGCCAAAGGTGATGCCATCTTTGGAGTTGGCTGAGGAGCCGGTCCCTCTTTGGTGGACTACGGACTTCATTCTTGCCTCTCCTGAGGGTACGCCCAAGGAGGAGGAGAAGTGGATCGTCGGGGAGTTCAACTGCTCCTGCGTGGGAGTGTCCCGGTGTCTCGCGGCATACTGCAAAGATGACACCCCCAATGCCTGCTGGGATGATATCACAGAAGAAGACAAGGGGGAGGCAAAGAAGTATGGGGACCTCATGGGCGAGAAGGCTCTGGGAATCATGTCCAAGTGAGAGGCCAGAGATCCCTCCACAAGATTTCCGGCTGGCCCGGCTGTCTCTCTCACCCCTTTGCACCGACTACTGAGCTGCCTCTTTTTGTGCTGCCCTTCTGCGCATTCCTCCGCACCTTGAACCTATGCTGATGTTCAGAAAAAGTGGTGCGGAGGAATCCGACTCTAAGCACTCTGAGCACTTGCTTCACATCCAGTCTACTGATTCTGGTGATGCTTTGATGCGGCAGAATGGCTTTCTTTGAGCACTGCAGGCTACGGCTATTTTCGGCTGTGCCGCAGGTGCTCACTTGATCCTTTTGAAAACTCTTGCAGCCGACCAGCAAGTGTGTCTTTCACCGAAGGTGGATAGCCCAATGCCTAGTCCGACAACCGAATTCGTCTGGAAGCATCAGGAAAAGTCTTTGCATGAAGGCTGGGACTTACGACCAGAGGGCAAGGGGTGCCTCCGTCTAGCCTCGCGGAGAGAAGCCAAGAGCCGGAGAGAAAGGTCTAGAAACAAAACCCCAGAGCATGCGCAGAGGATCTACCGAAACTTCCCTGGCAGCTCAAGCAGTCCGCCCGCAAAGAAGTAGCTGCACGTGCAATGTGGCTGGCCCGGCCAGGGCTGACCGTCGAGGAGCTCGTACCCCAAAGACCAAAGACTCGATTTACATGGGTCACGAAAACCCTGAACTTAAACCCCAAGCCCAAGTCACGAAAATTTATGAATGCTAGACCCCAAAACCCCTTAAACTCTAAAACTGGAACCCTGAACAGCCACAGGCTTGAAGCTACTAAGCAGCGAGAGGACAGTGGTCGGCGCGTCTCCTCTTCAGCCAAAAGCCTCTGGCGAGGATCCTGCTTGCAAGGATTGCGCATCCCAGAGAAGGGCCAAGGCCAGCAAACGGTTCTTGCTTTGCTTTTCTGTTTCTCTGGGTGCTTTGCATGAAGGCGCTTGTTGGTGAGTTGCGGGGAGTTCGATAATATGCGCAGGGATTCGGTTCTAAGCTGGCCCAAGTTTTTGTCCCTCAGAACATATCGCAACTCACGGCGAACAGAAGGGTGTCGAGTAAGCCAGTGTTTTCTTGCCGCTCCCATTTATGAGGCCTCTTCTCCGTGCGAATTCTTTCCGGCTTGGTCCGGGTGGGTTGGGTCGCGGACGAGGCCTCCTCAGATGCTGTGGGATGCGACGAGACCAGCTTTGGCTTCGGAGGAACAGGGAAGACGCCGGTCCGCAACATGAGAAGAGGGAGAGACGATGTCCCGGGAGGTATAAGAGGTTTGGGGCGTATTCAAGAATGGAAGGGGTTGGGGGAAAAGCCTGCAACGGGCGTCTCAACGCAGCTCCGGTGTGGTTTCAGTCAAGAAAGAGAAAAGTCTGCTTGACTGCAGGCAGTGCCTAAGTTTGGGTTGCGAGGTTCTTGTTTTTGGTTTGCGCGCAAGTGTGTGTGTGTGTGTGGCAGTGATGTAGGAAAGGCTGGACAAATTCTAGAAGTCAAGCCCTTGCAAGGGTTCTTTTCGAGCTGGGCGATGCAAGTCCCTGTCTACAGAACCCGCTCATGGCTTGTGCCCAGGAAATCCCACGCCAATGTGTTTGACTCCTTCGGCGATTCTGGGCTTGTGGCAACACCTTTCTTGTTTGCTACCGGTCTTTTCGTGATGGGTGGGGGGGGGGCTACTGTCGGAGCCTCGAGCATGCAGGACACTTTCGGACGTGGCGATGTTATCGAGTCGCGTCTGGACCGCCGGCAGGGACTTCAGATTTCTTTCACCCGAAACGGCAGCGACCTTGGTGTAGCCTTCGATTTCAAGGCTCGATGGAGCGCTGAATCAAGGGGTCTTCACCGAACCCCTATTGCCCCTCTCACACCCTTCCTGAAGACGTGGTGACATGCTTGCAAGGCCGAGCTACCACAGCTGGCACAAATGTCGCTGGTTCCTGCCGTTTGTGGCAAGGGCTTCCAAGTGGAGTTTTGCTCTGCGGATCCTCTTCTAAAGCCATGTCTGCCGTGCAATCATCAGTCGGAGGCTCAGGAGATGTCCACAATGCTCCGCTATTATACCCTCCGCTGCACCGCCCAGAAGAAAGCCACGGTGACGGGCAAAGAGCCACAGGTACAGGCCAAGCAGGCCAAGGCCAAGCTTTTAAAGCCTTGCCAAGCGGAAAATTCCGAGGGGATCCTGCGCAGCTTCTTCGCGAAAGAAAAGGCCCAAGCTGCGGCGGTTGCAGAGCAAGGCGTAGAGAGCTGGCTGCGCTCCTGCCTCGGCACGGAGGGGGCGGACACCACGAAGGGAGCTCGTGTTGAGGCTCGGGAGGTCCACAAGGAGATCCGAAAGGTCGAGCGAAGCAAGAAGCTGCCCTCGGGTCCAACCTTCACCATCACGGACTCCCAGCCGGCAAGCAGGGCCAATGCAGACCGGGCCTTCTCTCAGAACTTGGCCCTTTGGGAGTCCCTGCCACGGGGCCATGCGGAGGTGCGCGAGGAGACCGGCCGTCTGCTCTGCGAGCTCGCGGCCATGCGGAAGTTCGGGAGCTCCGAGGAGAAGTTCGGGCCCCTCGCCCGGCAGGCGAATGGCGCCCGCCGCTGCGCCCTCTCGCTTCTTCCGGCGGCCCTGAGGAGCATATATATATATATATATATATATATATATATATATATATATATATATTATATATATATATATATATATATGTATATATATATATATAAATATGTATATATATATATATATATAATATACATTACATAATTTGTATTATATACTATATTTACTATATCAGGAGCATCAGCAACGAGGCGCAAAGCAGCCCGAGCCTGGCCATGGTCTTCACCACCAAGGCACCGAAGCTTCAGACAAAAAGCATGGTGAGCACATGGCTCATGTGATTACATTCACCATGCAGAATAATCTTTAGCACGGTTGTCATTGTCATTATTACAGGCTGTTCTTTTACTTTTCCTACTATCATAAATATTTCTACTGTTGTTTCTATTGTTATTCGTATTACTATTACTGTTATCATTATTATTTTTCTTCTTTGTTGGGGTCTTGGGAAATTCGTGGGGCCGGCCACGAGGAGAACGGGGAGATGTGCAAGGCCTCCTTCTTCTTTTACGGCCAGGGCGAGGGAAGGCAAAGGGCCTAAGAATCATAGCACTTTAAAGACTTTCGCAATAATATCAATAATAACAATCCTCGGAACAATATTAACAATGATAATACTAACAACAATAACTTGAAATAACCGTCATGGACCCACAAAAGGCCCTACATGGCCCTGGGATCCAAGAACGTCACTCTGGTGGTGGTTGCTACGGAAGAGGCCGAGGCTTTAGCAGATCTGAGAACCTACACGGAAGATCGGTACCAGTTTGCTGTGGAGATGGCCGAAGTCTTCCTTGCTCAGATCTTCAAGCTGAGTGAAGGGCAGAGGACCACTATGATGCGTTTCGTAGCTGAGCATTCCGCCACTCTTTGTGGAGAATCCATTTCTCCGGTACACCAGCACATCCAAAGCTACCACGATGGCTCCTCGCCTGAGATCTTGGACACATGTTCGTCAAAGCATGTACTCGTGTTTTGGCATGTGATGTCACGCGAGGTCAAAGGCAGATTCAGGCGCACATCCGATTCTTCGCTATGACTGCTCCCAGCTCCTTCCAGACCTCCGGCCTGACCCTACTAGAGCCACAGCATGCAGCTCGCATCTTCAGTGACTGGGGCGCTTCTGGCTTGGAAGCAACCTTCTGTATACTTCTAGACTTTACTTTAACGGTTTATGGGAGAGTCTCTTAGACCGTTGTTCGGTCTTCGCCGGGACCGAGCAGACTCAGGGCTCCATCCTGTTGAAGCCCTGGACGAAGCCCTGGTCAGCGACGCCCGAGCTGTGGAAGAGCTTGAGCGGAAGCACTTGCTCCTCCCGAACCGGGAAGGTGCTGTGGTTTACGTGGTTGTGCGGTCGGTGGGACCTTCCGGCACCCAACTTGCGCGAACTGCCTTGGTCTATAAGTGGAAGAATGCTTGGTATGTTACGGTTCGGGCTCTCCGGGAGAAGTTCTGCAGGAGAGTCTCCGAATTGCGCATCCGCAGCCGTATTCGACTGCTTCACGTGCACCACCCGGATGAGAACAAGATCTTAGAGGACTACCTCTCCTTCTACCGTTGGGTGCTGCTCCTGCTTCCGCAGAAGGGCTTTGCGGAGACCCTGCCCTCCTTCTGGGTGGACCTCAAAGCCGCGCACGATCTCTTCCACGGGCCTGACGAGAGCCAAAGCTGGGCAAGGGCACTGCCCGAAAGCCTCACCGCAAGCTTTCCCGCTGGCTGGCTGGCCTCCTTCCCGCAGCTCTACTCCTTCCTGCGGGCCCCTTGACGCCAGTTGACGCTAGTTGACGCTGGTTCTAGTATAGTTCTAGGGGCTCCTAGGATTGTAGGGGCGGATCTGCTCCGTGAAGCCCTGAGCCGAGGCAGAATTGCCCGTGGAGCACTGGGTGCCGGCACTGTGTCGACATCGACCTTTGCTGGAAACTGAGGCCTTTGGTGACTTAACTTTAGTTCTCGGGTTGCGGATTTCCCCAAACGCTTTTGATACAGTTTGACGGACAGCCAGTTTGTGCAGGCACCGGAAGTCTGGCTGCAGAAGGTCCGCGAGCAGCTTCCCTCCTTGGCTTTCGGCTCTTTGCCGAAAGCGACTCCCGATCAGAGAGCCGAGGACGAGGACGTGGCCCTGGTGGTCGTCCTCGTCCGAGGCCTCCAGGGAAGTGGGAAGTCCAGCCTTTGCCGAGGCATGAGGGAACTCTTGGGCGGCGATTGGGTGAACCAGGACGAGGTGGCTGCGGCCATGGGTAAAAAGGGGAGATCTCCGAAGGAAGAGTTCCTGAAGGTGCTCACGGCGGCGGCAGCTCGCCCAAACATACGCTACCTCTTCGTAGACAAGATCCACACGCTGAAGCAGCACCGGGACGAAGTGGCGGGAGCCGTTTGCCAAGGCTTTCTTCAGCGTTCCACTCAAGAGGGGCGGATGGTGCTGGCTTTGTTAAATCTCTGCCACCCTGAGGATGAGGAAGGCGAGTTTTCCAACGCCGCGGACGTGTGCACGGCCCGGATCGCGGGCAGGGGTTTGTCCCACCTCTCGCTGGTTCCACAAGCCACAGATGCGACTGCAGTGGTCTTGTCTGCGGGGGAGAGCGCGGAAGTCTTGACGGATGAGGAGAAGTGTCAGTTCGACGTTTATGCGGATCTTGACATGCGCCTCCCACAGCAGGCTTTGCTTCAGAGTGCTTTAAGCAAACTCTGCTTCGCAGGGCTCCTCTCAGAAGAGTCTTTCACTGAAGACCTTTACCAGCATGCGGTGGAGGCAGCAAAGGCACATGAGGCCTTCAAGGGAACATGAGCATGTTGGTTTATCCGACAGTCATGTCCCCCATCCCTGCTTCAGTGGAGGTTGGTGCCGCTGTTGCATGTTGACTTCTCGCATTAAGTTAGAAACACAAGTCTTGCCAGACGAGGTGGATCTCTCAAAGAGGTGGAAGACTTTGTACTGGATGGTGGCACTAGACTGGCAAAGCATCCTATGGGAGAAGGAGACTGAACCTTTGCAGGAGGTCCTGGCAAAAGCAATGCAATCGATCCAAACAGCGCATGCACCCAGCTTGCAGCCAATCGCTGATCCTCACATCACCTTGCTCTGGGCACCCGAACTTGGCCCGGAATCTTCACAAGTTCAGGAAGGGCTCGAGAGGATGGAAGGCCATGAGGTGCAGGTCACCGTGCACGCATTGTGTTGGGATGAGGGCCTCGGGCTCATTGCGCTCAGGGCGTCCTTGGACTCGACTTGCGCACACCTCTGCCAAAATCTTCATCCGCACATCACCGTGGCAAGACTCCCTGGGGTGGCAGCCAAGCTTTCCAACGACATGCTCAAGCGGCAACAAGAGGGAGACGTTTCGGTAAAGCAGGTCTCGCTGCAGCCCTTCATAGTGACTGGGCTTGTGCAACGGCAGCTGTCAGCCGAGTCCCTTGCTTCTGCAGCGGCTTCAGCAGGTGCCCTGCCGGACGGCAATCCCGTTTGTGACTTCGGTCTAGCTGCGACCGGGGAGTCTGTCGACGTCTGGGCAACCTACGATGCATCAGTGCGCTTCCGGAAGATTTCCCGTGTGCTGAGCACCTTGATCTGTCCAGTCTCCGAGCCCTTGTTACAGTGTAAGGGCTGGCCGCCCAAGCTTCGTGGAAAGATGTGGCTCACGTTCCACGAGAGGCCCCTAAGCAGCCAGAGCATGCGAGCTTTGGAGCAGCTGCAGAAACAGAACTTGTTTCAAACCCTGCACGCGGCGGTGGCTTACTTCCCAATCTCTGAAGACTTCTTGCAGAAGACCCTGGCAGAAATGCAGGAAGAACTTGCCCAGCGGCCACTCGGCGGCAGACCTTAAAGTTGCAAACGTGGAACTGGAGCCGTCCACGATCCTTTCCTTTGAGGCTCTCCGAGCGCGGGGCAGAGGCCCTGGAGCACAGCCTGCAGGCAAGGGAATCATCGATCTTTGTGGTTGCGAGGTTCAGTTTGTCGTCAAGGCGTAGACTGGGAGCTTGACTGGGGACTTCGGGCTATGGCTGTAGACCTTTCGTCTCGTGAGCTTTCGTGCATAGGCCGGGCTTCCACTTTAAGAAGGTGGCAAGGCGCAGCTTGCTTAAGTCATCCTTGGACCCAAAAGTCCTGGTCTTGCGAGGCTCTGGCAACCTGGCAAGGCCAGCCCTCCTTGGAGAAGCCCAGTTTCTCTGGAAAAAGCCAAAGGCTTCAGGGGAAGGCATGTACCAGGCAGTTCAGGAGGGGGATTGCTGATAGACATGAATAGCTGGCAGCGGTATGAACCTCCGGTTAGAGTTACCTTTGTTGCTCCGGAGCGCATAAGCCGGAACTCAGAAAGATGTGGGGGTAGTTCTCCAAATGAGGGTTCCTGATAGGGGGTCCTTTTTAGAAGGGTGCCGTACCATCTTGGGGACTTAGAAATGGGGACCCTAATCAGAAAGAGAACTCGACCCTGTTGTGTCCGTCGAGGTTTCTACGTCCAGTGCAAAGCGGCTGGGTCCCAGGAGCAGACCGTGAGGCTCCGGCAGGCGATGGCTGGGGCCGTTGCGGGCCTCGTGCATTGGTCTCCGGAGTTGAAGGCGGCTGAGCCGCGCTGTGGAGCGCCAAGAAGGGCAACATACCATTGGATTCTTAAACTTGAATCTGTATGTTTTGGGTAGGATTCCGTAGGCTGGTCTTTCGGTCGGAGCGGAAGGCCGCGGTGACCCTGTCCGTCCAGACTCGAGATGACTGGATCCTGCTGGGCTTGGTCTTGTCCGGAAAGGCCAAGGCCTCGACAGACGTAAGAGAGGCAAAGGCTGTCGTAGAGGCGAAGGCCCCGGGCCCGGGCCCCGAAGCCAAAGTTCACCTGACCTCAGAGATCGAGCCCATCGAGCCCTTGTCCGCGAGCGGAAGCAAGGGCTTGGACTTGGATGGTTCCCACCTGGAAGGGGGCGGACAGCTCCTTCGCAACGCCATGGCGTATGCTGCCGTGCTGGAGAGAGAAGTGCGAGTTCGCAACGTGAGGTTGGGCAGGTCGCCCCCCGGCCTGAGACCTTCACATCTGGCAGCGGTGGAGGGTGTCAGCCGATTGGCGGGGGGATTCTGTGAAGGATTGGCAGCAGGCAGCATGGCTTTCCGTTATGTCAAGGAGCAGGACAACGACTTCACCGAGCTTGTGGTGGATGCGGGCACAGGAGGCTCCACAATGCTGATGCTTCAGGCTCTCCTGCCGGTGATGCTGGCGAAATCTGGCACGCTCAAGTCCGCAGTGCAGGTTACCCTACAAGGGGGTACCAACGTATGCTCCCCCAGGGATGGAAAAGTCACGGCTCCCCAAGTTGAGTATATACTGCTTGTCTTGTTTCCCATGCTGCGACGCCTTTTCGGCGTGAATCTGGAAATGGATGTCCGCAAGAAGGGCTTCCTTAATGGAGGGGGTGAGGTCGTTGTCCGCGCATCCGCCCCTCACTGGCCGCTTCCGTGCTTCGAACTTCTGGACCGCGGTGCCGTCCGAAGTGTCTCGGTGTCAGGGTCTGCGAGTTTTTGGGTTTGGGGTGCACCCTTCAACCCTTGTCATGTCCGCTGGATCCCCAAACTATATACCCCGATGTTCTGCTCTTAGGTGTTTCTGCTGCGGTGTACAGCTCTGCGGGGGTTCCTCGCCATGTACTTGGCCGCATGGTCGAGGGGGAGTTGAAGAAGCGCCCGAGTGGCGCGAGCATCCTTCTCAAGGAGCGCCTCCCCGAGGCAGAGGTGCACTGGAATTCGCAGGAATGCCCCTCAAATGGTGGTGATGCCTGTGGCCTTGTGGTGGCTGTGGAGACAGACCGCAGTGTTTTCGGAGGCGACTCGATGGGAAGGAGGGGGACCTCCGCAGAGAGCGTGGGCGAGGAAGCCGTGCGGAAGGCCTTGGATGCCCTGGGCGGCGGCGGCTGCGCCGACGAGCATCTGGAGGACGCAGGGCAGGTCGTCGCAGGGATGAGAAGCGGCGACAGCTCGTGATGTTGCCCGTGTTTTGCAGGACCAGCTGGTGGTTTTCATGGCACTGGCAAAGGGCCGCTCGCGGCTCCGGCTGGGGAGAGCGACCCGATGCTTGCACCTTCAGACTGCTGCTGGGCATGACAGAGGGTACGGGCGATGCTGCTCGCCTTGCTACGGAGCTGTCTAAGCCACGATCCTTCGACGATTCGAGGCAATCTGGTTGGCTCAGCAGTTTGGTGCTTCAGTGCAACTTGCTCCTTGGTTTATTTACAGGCTGCGTGTCGGGGTCGCGAGTGATCTAAGAGTGCCAGAGTCCAAAGAGGTACAGGACGAAGCCAACCCCATCTTGGAAATTTGCGGTGTGGGAGGGACGTCCCAGCCTTACCGAAGTGCTCGTTTCTTCATTTCGACGTTTCTCTCTGCTTGAGAACGAGGTTGGAGGCTGGCATGTGAGTTGCGCCACCCAGTGTCTTCAATGCACTTCGGAGCCACACCCAGGGCCCAACGAATCCGGAATCCCGGTGCTTCCGAGAGCCCGCCCCGTTGTACAGGAGGTGCACAAGGTGCAAAAAAGACGTTCTTGCAGCAGCATCAGGAACTCGGAACTTGGGGTTTTCGTCTGAGCAACACATAAGACAGACCACGCACGAGCAGGTCTCAGCATGAGCTTTGCTGCTTCTCTGTTTGTTCGTCAGCTCTGCAATCGGATGTGGCCTAGATTCGGGTTTGACCTTGGTGAGGTCGCGTTCTTACCCCGGGCCAGCGGCGGAATGAAAGAAGGGCAGCCCATGGCCTTTCAGGGTTTACCGCCTTTTCAGGCTTGATCAGAGCTTTACTTGACTGTTCCCTTTGTCGATGTAGGAGTTTACCTTATTTTGGGGTCTTTATAATATGGATCCCACTATTTAGGGTACTATATTAGGGCCCCGTATTTTCGGAAGCTCCCATGTGATTTCAAGTTCTTGTGCAAGCAGGCTTCGCCTCTTGTATCGAAGACCTTCGGCTCAGTAGAAGAGCGGCTTGGGGTATGGCCGTCACGTGCTGAAGGCGGGGTGAGTACATTCAGAGGGGTGGTTGTCCTTTTTTGGGTCCTTAGTATAATATCGCACCTGATACTTAGGGTATCCGAAAAGGGACCAGAATTTTGACAACCACCCATATCGTCACCTAGCAGTCTAGCATGTAATATCGTATAGGACATGTGCAGAAGACTGTTTGGATGAAGGCTATCAGACGTTCTTCTTTCTCCCTGCAGCTTGTATCCCCCAAGCCGCTGGCCACCCACTTCCAGATCCTAGCCTAGACCCAAAACCCTATTATGGCGCTAAGGGGTGCTGATTCCCGGCAAACCTGCGAGGCGTGCTCTGCCACATGTAGGACGAGGTCTCGAGCAGGGCAGCAGTTACTGGCCGGAGACCCAAGATTGGCAGATCCCAGTCGCTGAAAGTGCCAAGAAGTGCCGATCCGTGGATAGGTTGGCCGTTGAAATCATCCAGACCAAAACATGTTTCTTGGCAGCACCGGTGTCCGGGAAGCCGCTCTTTTGTCATTCATGCAACAGTCCGGTGTCTGCGCCAGGGCTGGATTGGAAGATGATTTCAGGCAGTTGCAAGTTGCGGTCCAGCAACGTGCATTGAACTCCCATGTCTGCGTGACCGTCAATGCGTGTCTCTCTCTCTCTCTCTCCCTGATTCCGGTGTGCGAGGCCCGGGGATGGGGCAGGACAGAGATATGTTGCACTTTACGATTTCGATCCTTCGGTGCCGCTCCCAGTTCGTGAGTTGTCGAAGGTACCGCTACATGTCAGACATAGCAGTGGAACGGATGTCTGCGGGGTTGTGAACTGATCCATGTAGTAGCCTCAAGCCGGCTGGTAAACCCTCATCATCGTCGTCAACAGCGGCATTCAGCATGGTCATCATCATGACTTGGTCGCGACGAAGATCATGAGCCTGGACATGGTCATGACTACGATCATGATCATGACCATCATCATCGTCAGCATCCTCCTTTTAGCTTATCCTACTATGGACAGATAGATGACGGTTTCACAAGCGGTTCTGATTGCCGATACCGCCAACAAGTGAGGTGATCGATTGGAGATTTCCGCCATATACTCAGCAGCTGTCATCGCGACACGAACCGTGCATTTGCTTATCTTTGTTGGCATGAGCAGAAGATGATCCCTGGACTCATCTGAGGAATCAGGCGCCGCTTCCTCTCAAGGTGGGAAACGTTGTGGAGGTCCTGCACGATGGAGGAACCGGATGGGTGAGGATCTTACCTGTGTGAGTGTGTATCGAGTCGAATCGATTCCATTTTTTGCTTCTGTGTCGAGGTCTTTGGCCATTTAGTCGGAGCTCCTGAAAACAAAGGCTTCTTTCCTCTGAACTACACAGCGTCCCTTCCCTGGAGTCCTAGAGTCTGATTGAGCAACCGTATACCGATATGCTGCCCCGAGATGTCTGAGACCAAGGCCCATGGAAGAGTACCTGCGGGAGATGGAGCGGTTGAGGCAAACCAATCCAGCCGCAGCCGGCGACTCGAGCGGCCCGCAGCAGCCCCCCTGCCCCCCGCTTGGTCTCCGCCGTTGTGTCACTTAGGTCACCGAGCTGTCCCAGCCCGGGCCTCGGGGGGAGCTTAGGACTTAGGCTTAAGGCTTAGCTGAGCTTGCGACCACGACTGCGACATACTGCGACTCGGCTGTCTGTTTTGAGACCCACAAGAAGAAGACTTGGTTAGCCCCTTGTCCGATCAACGACCTTCAGTTTTTTCTCCAATGATGTGAAGGGAGCGGAGGGTGTGTAAACGCTTTGCGGAAAGGCTATCCGTTCTGCTTCAATGCGTTGGTTTTTTCGGTTTGCTGTGAAGCTGATCCTCTACGGCAGGCCCAGCAGACTGGAAGCATCGGACCCAGCTGCCCCTTCCTGTCCCGGCTTTGCTTGATGAACAGGAGTCGACCATGTATGAAAGTTTAACGAGTTGGCTGAGTACCAGTGTTCGTGGCATGTGACCTGCAGCTGTTTGTGGCTTAACGGGAGGCCGTCCCTCCATCCTCCATCCCATGCCGTTGCAGGATACTCCACATGCAGTGTTTTTGCAAAATTCTCGATCGACGCGACATCCCATCTCAAGCCTCAAGCCTGAACTTCGCTGTGCCGCAAGCCCATGGAGCTGGAAGAGACGGGCCTAGAAATCAAGAGATCAGAGCTTGGTGGTGAGGGCATCTTTGCCACCAGAAGCTTCAAGCCCGGTGACCAGGCGCAGTTCAGGATCATTTCGAAATAGAATCCCTCGGTCAAGCTGGCAGGTCTTTGCTGAGAAGCATGTGGCACGTCTGGATCTTAAGAGTTTTCACGTGGTGTCTTTTCGTGAGGTTTCTTGCGATGCGCAGATGCTCTGTTTCCAGGGCTTGGCGTGACCGCTGTGGATCGCGATATCGAAGGCCTCAAGGCCAGATTCGACGAGCTACCCGGCCCGGCGTGCGGTGCTTCCCGAAGCGACTTCGAAGAGTGTCCGTCACATCGAGGCTTGCGGGTGATGATGGGGGCATTATGTTGACGAATCTTCGGGCGACATCGCTCTTTCGTGGCCCCTCAGGGAGCTTGGGAGAGGACGGGGGGATTTGGTTTCTGTTGGCTGCTGCGGAGTGGCTGCAAGCACTCGGCTTTTAGGAGCGCCGCAATGCGTATGGCAGCTGGTCTTCGAGCACTTGGCCCGATGCATCTCCGGGACAGCAGGACTTCAACAAGGGATGGAGGAATGGAGGGGGGCTGGGGTTTGTGACACGGTGCATGTCACAACGAACTTTCACACTGGGCATTCCTCATACTTTGGTGGCTCCATTTCGCTTGAGTGCACTGAGGTTCAAGTTCGTGTACAGAAACGTTCAGTGGCATCAATCACGTCAGCAAGGTCTGAAATTCATAGGATGAAGGCTGTGTGCGCTTAGCCGCATTTTTGGGTAAAAAATGCTTTGCACAGCTTCGATTTCAGTTTGCTAACCTTGCATAGTTAATCTCGGAGTGTACACGACAGCTGCAGCACGGCGGTTGCAAAACCAGCATGCCACGGAAGCACAACTGCTGACGCACATCTCCTTGCATGAGAAATTCACAAGACCAGGCGGTGTCTTTCGCGGTCGTATCGGGCTTGTGCAGAGCCATGGGCGGTGCACAAACATCCCTGTGCTCTTGCTGGGAGCGCCAGAAGCTCCCCACGGCATTTCAGCCTCAACCACCTCCCCGGCCAGCACACCCAAAAGAGCCCGCCGCGAGCAAGGCGGCTACAACCGACGGAGGCAAAGACGACGAGGAGGTCGAATTCGAACTTGGCACATTTAATACCTTCCTCGGTTATCGCGAGAAGAGATCCTGCAGCAACAAGAGAAGCCGTAGCATGCCCAAAAGCATGCGAACATGCAGAGACACAAACACAGTCAACGTTGCGGCGGCGGCTGTCGACGTGGAGGAGAACGTGGGCGACCAGCTCCGACAGCTCTCCGCGCTCCCCCCACTGGATTCCGCCTTCGAGCCGTTCCTAACTTTGGAGATGGTGGCGAGTGAGCGCATCTGGAGGCGGTCGGTGATCGGAGAGCTAGCATGTGAAAAAGTGCATGTAGTGCCTGAGGCGGATCGTTGCTGCGCAGATTTTTCGTGCCGACAGTGTTGCCGGTTGGACAATAACAACTGGTTGCTGGCATCATCAAACCACCTGAGAATTCCGGGGCAGGCTGACCCTGCCAGAGCTCTTCAGATGCTCCCCGCGCTGCCAGAGCATGCGGCTGCGGATTGGCAATGAAACTCAGCCCATGCTGGTGGGAAATGCATGGATGCAGACCGCCAGCGACTGTTCCCGGTGTATTCTACTGCTTCTACAGCTATGACATAGCGTTGTCTTTATGTAGCAATCCCACCTGCATCTGTTTATATCTGTTTCACGTTGCATGATCTGTTTCACACTGCTTCTGTTTCAAATTACATCTGTTTCACATTGCAGCTCATTTGGAGGTTCGCATTCTGCAGGTTGCTGAAGTGGTTTGACAGAAGCATGACCTTGCTCTACATGTTGTGGGCCATTGGTATATCGAAACATCATTGCCAACATGTTGAAGATGCTCCTGGAAGCGATTGCTATACTAGGGCCCATTGCAGCACGAAAGTATTTCTGGTGCCCCAGATGGCTGGCTGGTCCTTGTGGTGGATTTCGTGGGCTGACGGCAAGAACGAGTTCGCATGATGCATTTTGCAGGGCCTTGTTTCATGGCACATGCCACATGTTGCGCAAGAGGGCAAGCCCACGTTCGGGTCCTGCAGCACGTTCACAAAGCGAGTGGATGGAGGAGGTAAACATGCTTGCACAGCTACAGCTATTGCATTTTTCGACTGCAAGTTTGACGGTCCGTCCTAGGAGTATGTTCCCAGATGAGGGCCCCGAGTCGAACTGCAAAACATGCGGGCGTCCGGATTTCGCCAGCATCACAGTGAATTTGTCACGGGAATGGGAGCACATTAAATCCTTTTCAGCCTCTACGCCAGGAGGCAATGGCCGATGCGATGACAATCATGTCGCACCTTGGTCCGGTTCTGCGGTTTTTGTTCAGGCAGGCAATCCAGAATTCGACGCCGCGATGGGAGCTTAGGTACAACTCTTACGTTTCGTCGGACAGCACCTGGCAACTGGTCTATCCTATCATTTCGAAGGCCAATCACTCCTGCCTCAGCAATGTGACCACAGTCGCCTCGGAGGACACGGATCGCACACTGAGTAGCAGCGAAACTTTGCCAGAGATTCGCAGCATGTTGTGGCAGGATGGATTTGGCGAACTCGTATGCCTCCTTCCCATTCATGTTGGTGATGAGATTCTGACGAGCTATTTGTGCGACTCGGATCTTACACGCCCCATAGCGCAGAGATGCTTGGATGCGTCTTCCGGCTTGCTTGAATGGCACATTTATTCTGTCCTTGTCTGAAAATTCTGATGCTGAGGAAGGAAGATTTTATTGGATCGCTGGGACTTTGACTGCTGTTGCAGCCGTTGTGTTGCTTTGGAGGTGTCTTGAAGATGTGGAATGGCTGAGCACGTAGCCTTTCTTGTAATTTCACGTCGTGTCGCTCTGGACTCTCTGTGGATGCCAGGACGACACTCGACGTTTCACCTGCCAGAGCCTCCGGGATCCACCACAGTGGATGGAAAATCAGGCAGGAGGGGCTCATAACAAGTGCGACTGTTCAAAGTGGCCCCGGCATTGCAGGGTTGTGTTTGGTTTTGTTTGACGCCTGATACCATGGCTTATGCTTTACCCAGAGCTTCCTGCCTCAGCATGGCAAGCATCCACGAGATTCAGCGTTTGCAGATCCCTGACAGGAGGTGTCTGCAGACGATGACCGCGACATGGGAGAGCTGCTCTCTGGCACACGCAGCAGAACTTGGATTGTTCCGTTGGAATACTTTCCCTCTGAGGTCGACAGAGTCTTCGACCCGTGCCGACATCCTTGCTTCCTCGGAGGAGTCTCGGAGAACTCTGACATCATCTGCTCTCATCTGCCCTTCCGCTCCCTTTCAGGGGCTGCTTCCCAGCGGCCGATGGGCCAAAGCCTGGCTGCAGCGCGAGGAGGACGCGGACATGAAAACCTGGAGCTTCCCTTTCGAAAGGCGGAGCCGAGTCTGTCTGCGCAGGAGGGAGAGGAGCTGCTTCAGGCCTGGACCGCGCTTACTGGCTGCTTTTCATACGGAGTGTCGAACTCGCAAGCATGGACTTGTGGCTGGGGCATCCACCTTGCAGCAGGCATTGCCCGAAGCGTCCCTTGGCTCAACTCTATTTTGGGGGTATGCCTCTGCTTGCCGCGGGTTGCTTTCAAGGTCCTCGATTTGGTATAACTTGTGCAGATTTGTCAGGTGCTACTCGTAGCTTTTGATGTCGCTGTTACAGGCCGTGCCAAATATTAACAGATCTAGTGGTCCGTGATAGTTGACGACTCCACAGCTCTCTCTCTCTCTGTGTCTATTGCTCAAGCCTCAGCCTGATGATAGGCTTTTTGCAGCTTGGGCCAAGCTGGAAGAGCTGCTCGACAGGAATGGTTGCAAGACGGGTTCGCCTCAGCTGTGGTCTCTCTTCTGACGTCAGGTTTGCTAATGCACATCCCTGCCATGGACTGTCTGGTCGTTGGAAGCGGCTGCTCAGAAGCATCCGAGGGAGCTTGCTTTTGCCGTGTGCCCAATCGAGTCCGCCAGACACCTGGCCATGCACACCGAGCGTGAAGCTGCTGAAGCCGAGACGCCAGAGGAGGCAGAGCAGGGTCTCAGCATTGCACGGCGAAAGGGCTCTGCTTCTGTGGTTGCCGCAGGCAGAGGAGCTTTACGAGTTGGTCGATCAGTACTTTGCAGATTATCGGAGGCTAGGGCAGGGCGTTGCAGAATTGGTGCAGTTTCTTTGTGAATGTCAGCTTTTCAGTCACTTGCAGGTGTCTGGAAGCCATGCTGCCGGAACGCCATGAAGGTTCAGCTCAGAGGGATTCGGAGACAACGCCGAGTGAACTGCTGCCGCAGACCCGCTGCCAGGTGGCCTCCTGGACGGCCACACTGCCGCCGATGCGAGGAGAAAGGAGAGGGAAAAAAGGGCGCGCTGCTCTTTTTTTTCATTTTTTTCGTCGGTCTCATGCAGGGCCAAGGCTTGGGGCGCAGTTTCGGGACGAGTTCCAAAATATTAAATCCTGAAGCAAAGCCCAAGGCCCCACCGGTGGACACCATGATCGTCACCATTCCCGAGGGTTCCCAGCCCGGCGACGAGCTCTCCTTCACTGCGCCCAGCGGTCAGGAGGGGAGCATCGCGGGCTTGCAGTTCGGGTATTGTCAAGATTGTCGGATGCGACTTGCTCTCAGTAATCTAACAAAAAACAAACTAGAGTGAATATGAATAGTCATACGTGCCCTTCCAGGGCAGTATGTAGTCCTACTTAGAGCTTTGTTCCCTGCTTCGAGCTTGAGGAAGTGATCGTCGCGGTGCCCGAGGGTGCACTGCCGGGCGAGGAGTTGGAGATTCCGCTGCCTCCGCAAGCGGCGGCCCGAGAACCATGGAGAGCCTTTGATGAGTTGCACCCTACTATATACTGTATTCAATACACTACACTATGTATGCTGTATACTAAATGTTATATACTGTACATGTTATACTATGCACTGATTGCTGAGTACGCAAAGGTGGTACATTGTACATGTCACATCATGCAATGTACATTTTTTAAACTCGGCACCAGGCACGATGCACTACACTACGGACCATACTATCCCGCAGTTTGCCTTCAGAAGGGTTTGAAGCACCTGCATCGGAGTCATTACACCTGCAATGTTACCTCTCTTTGTACCAAGCAAGGCAATGACAAAGGAATCTGCTCCGACCTCAGTTGCAGATTCCACTGGCCGATGCTTCTTCGCTGGAGTTTTGCCACAAGAACCTAAGACGAACCTCAGCCCAAAGATGCTGTGGATCCGAGGTTGCGAGCGGGGTGGGAGCTCGAGATGCGGAGGCAAGTTTGTTTTGGCACCTTAGAGGCTCCTTCTCTCATAGCAGCAGAGCGCGAACATGGTAGACTACAGCACTGAAATAAGCAACACCTGTAGTGCATCATCACAACAGAGCGGCCATGCAGCGGCTCAGCTGTTCAGCAACGCATGTACAGCTTCCAGTCAAAAGCCCGCCAAGAACTACGCGACTGACATGTTTAGGGACCAGCATTGTCAACTGACATATACATGCCTGCCAGTCTAGAAGACCACGAGACGCTGCCAGTATGACACGCCTCAGCAGTGGTTCCAGGCCGATCGGCAGTGGGCACAGCTCACGAACATCGCCAGCCCGGCTGTTTTGACTTTGTGTCGGGTTTTGGAGTTCTTTGAAAATGTGGGTTCGGGGATCCTTGAATAAGGCGGGACCCCGTCATTTACGGGGCGATAACCTCGCTGTGCGGTTTCAGACTTAAGGTTTTGTGGTTAGGCTTCAAGGTGGTGGTTTCATGTTTGTGCAGGTTTCCAAACGCACTGAGTGAGTCCGGGTGCACACCAGACCTGCCAGGGCGGCTATCCAGCACTCTCGGCAGAACCGTCACGACCTCTGTGAATGGGTCAGGCTGCAAAGGGCTCACCAACTCACTGACCAACAGGCAACGAATGAAGTAATCCATCTGTTCCCGTAGTAGCTGCAAACTCACGAAGCCATTAAGTATACATCAAGTCAACTGGCTAGCAAGCTTGCCCCGCTTCTAATTACCTGCCTACCTACCGACCGACCGCCTAATGAACTGACCGACCGGCCAGCTAGCTAGTCAGCTACCTAGCTAACTACGAACTGACCAACTGACTAGCCGCCGAACTGACTGACTGACTGACCAACTGACTAACTAACCTCCCAGCTAGCTAAAAACTGAACTATTACTCTTGTTTGCTTATGCGCCTGCATACGTGTCTACGTTTCTCTTCATGTCCGTATCTCGCTTTCTTGTTTATCGCTCTGTACATCTCGCTCTCGCTCTCGCTCTCGCTCTCTCTCTCTCGCTCTCTCTGTCTCTCTCTCTCTCTCTGTCTCTCTCTCTCTCTCTCTGTCTCTCTCTCTCTCTCTCTCTCTCCAATTCTCGATACTCCATGCACATCTTCCCAGCAAACTTCCTAACAGCCGAGGCCGATCGCCACTTCTTACGAGCTCACGAAGCACGCCACCCGGAAGGGTTGTGAATCAAAAGTCGAAAGCACGCTGCATGAGGCTTCCTCATGTGCCTCATGTGTTCAAGATCTCCCCGTAGATGCTGCGTTCGCGGGCATTCTCGAACGGTCCAAGGCCATCGGGACTGCCCGCCTTGCCTTCGAGCGCTGCGGGTGCGTCGAGAGCTCAGGGGCGTTTCGACGAGCTTGGACCTGGCGGTTGCCTTCAACGGCCATGGCAGTTTGGGTTAGCTCCTGCGAAGTGAGATGCAGCTACAGTTGATATACACCATGCTGCAGACAACGGTTTGGACTGTGACGAATCGTGAAGACGTGACACATACCCTGATGATTATGATGGTTGTGAAGAGGTTGCAAGTTCTGTAAAGGTTGCAGTTATCATGATTTTGAAGATTCGGATGATAATCCGGATGCTGGTGCTGCGGATGACAGCGCTGTTGTTGATAGTAGCTCACGGTGTCAGCATTGCTTTACCCGAACAGTCCTGGAAGATTTTCCACAAAGGTCCGACCCACTATCCTACTATAGTCGACAGCGTAATCAGTTGTGGCGACATGTGGCGACGTTGATTATGATTTCCCTGACTCGTGCGACGTTGTGAGAGTTGCTGGCGATTTTGCTGAGAATTGTGTTGGTGAAGCGGAACAGACAGCATTATGACGCTGTTGGTGATGATGGCGATGATGGTTGGGATAGTGATATTGCCAGTGCTCATAGCTGTTCTGGGTGTGGCAATCGTCGTGCTGCGGATGATCACGGTGATGGTTGACAAAAAGATGAACATGTCGGCGATGGTTGGTCGTGAAAATCAACATCGTGACGTCGACGTCGATGATCAGCCGACTTTGTGGCTATGAAAATCTCCATGGCATTGAGCGAGTACACACCCGGGCATTCTCCTTCCAATCGGGATGGGACTTGTTTGTACAACGCTTCTGTGATTTTCTGCCTGGTATGATCAGTTTATACAAATACAGAATAAATTATGTTAAAATATAGTATAATATAATATAGCAATCTAATATCAGTGATTTTCTGCCTGGTTTCAGGCCGGATCCTGAGCCCGACGACGTGGCGGCCGCGCGGCATGAAGTGGAGGCAGAGCTGCGAGCTCGCCAGGTGGGCAGCCTGCAAGTTGATTGAGGAAGGCAAATCATATATGATATATACTATATCCAGTTTATACAAATACAGTAGAATGTGTTGTAATATAATATAATATAATATAGTATAATATGGCAATCTAATCTACTTTACAGGCTTACTGTTCAGGGATGTTGGGAGAACTTGCTTCAATGTTGGTAACAGCATTTCGCATTGGTACGTCTACCCCAGTGGTACGATTACGTCGTGTGGCATTTGCGGAGCCAGTGATAAGCCTAGCCACAATAAGAGCAGCAGAATTTAATTTCCTGTGCTGTTGTCGTTGCGACAGTAATGGTAATGATAGTACTCCATATCGGGTTCCGGAGCAGTTGCCGTAGTGGCAGCAAGACATTTCTTGATCGAAACACTGGTCATAGTTCCCAGTGTTGGAGGTAATAGCAGCGAGAGTATCCAACAGCAGTTGCACAGTAGTCGAGGTCTAAGAGCATGTCTTGCAACTCGAGTGACCAAAACAGCAAAAGCTAACGAGACCCTTGAATGTGGAGTCGTCACGGCAGCTCAACACGTAATGAAGGATCAGCACCTAAACACATCAGCTGATGACATGCAAACCCCTAGCAAGCAAAAGGAAGTGGTTTGTGCAGTCATTACCACAATTGACCAAGCTAGACATGATAGGCAGCTGCTGAGACCTAAAAGGAAAGAGGCCCTGTTTTCGACAAGCGGACCTGCAGCAAGAGCTGTAGGGACTGTAGTGCGTCCTTTGCAGGCTCGTGTCGCCACGGCACACTCACCAGCACGAAAGCAACAACAGTAATTAAATTCATAGGTGAGACGCATGCATAGTAGAAATGGTACTGCTGGTTCCAAGGGGCAGTGGCAAAGACGATGGTGATCAGGATGGTGATCCTGCTGCTGCTTCTGATGTTGACTGCAGAGATGAAGATGCTGAACATGTTGATGGCGTCGCGATGACAATCGGGATGGCGATGTGAATGGTCCTGATGGTGATTGAAGGAAGGTGGTTGCTCTGGTGGATGCATTGAATCAGAGGAAGATGAGCTTGGCAATGACGCTTACTATGAGGTTTGTGCTGGCTGCGAGGGTGCTGACACTGATGAAAACGATTATGATGGCGGGGTGATCTCGGCAATGACTATGGCAGTGTGGACCGTGCCCGCAATTGCCGCAGTAAAGATCTCAACCTTGATGGTTCCTTGTCGGGCAATACAGTGAAAACCCTGTATAAGAACCCCGTTCGGCGAGAGTAGGGTACCCTAAGGTTCTTAATTTCCATTACATGTGATTTTGCCATTCGAGCAGCTAGGGTAGGCTCAGGTTCTTAACCACGTTCTTGTCCGGACCGAGGTCTCGGGAAATTTACTTTTGGATTCTAAATTTCCTTGTGGGGGTGGATGGGCCATGGGGGGTCTGGAAAATTTAGTTTTCAATTCTAAATTTCCACAGCTCGTCGAAAGGACTCGGGGCAGAGGGCATGGCCAGAGACCCCCCAGAAAATTTACTTTTGGATTCTAAATTTCCGTGGGGGTGGATGGGCCATGGGGGTCTGGAAAATTTAGTTCTCAATTCTAAATTTCCACAGCTCCTCGAAAGGACTCAGGGCAGAGGGCATGGGCATAGCCAGAGACCCCCCGAAAATTTACTTTTGGATTTCAAATTTCCGTGGGGGTGGATGGGCCATGGGCCATGGGTGTGGCTTGGGCCGGGACCAGGACGCTGGCGGGAAAATTTAGATTTCAATTCTAAGTTTCCATGGTGGCAAGGGGCTCTCTTTCAGTGGAATACGAGTGGTGTAGAAAATTTAGATTCCAATTCTAAATTTCCACGTTTTGGTAGCCATCATACAATTATTATGTTCAGGCAGAGGGTTTCTTGATGTGTAAGGTTGGGAAATTTAGTTTTCGATTCTAAAATTCCTTGGTGAGGGAAAGCACCCAAAAAATTAAGAACCTGACCTGAAAACTAGGGTACCCTCAGGTTCTTAATATTGAGGCAACTTGAATCTGGTCAGTTCCGCCTTGCGTAGGGGCTCAGGTTCTTAAACAGTGGGTTCTTATACAGTATTTTCACTGTATTCTGCATTGATCTAGCACCGACAGCATTTATTCCTCTTTCTGTGCTGCAGACCACGATGGATGCCGTCGGAAGGGGAGCTGAATCTGGTGTATCGTACGCAGCTTAGCAAACTTGCAGATTGCACATGCAAGCAGCATGTGAAGACTCGTCTTTTTGTGCATCTTCCTCGCGCAGGACCCCAGACACACAGCTGGCGATCAAGAAGGAGTTATGTCTTAGTATTGCTTTGATGACTTAGGAGTTTCCGAAAATTAGGGATACCTTATTTTGGGGTCTTCATAATGAGGGTCTCACTATTTGGGGTACTATGTTAGGGTTCCCTATTGTCGGAAACTCCCACTTGGAGTCATGAGCCGCATGCAGGACAGAGACTTTGTGCGTCGCAATCTGCCAATGAATCTTCAGTGTGGAAGCTAAGGGGACCTTTGCACAATGTGAAGACTTTGCAGCAGTCGATTCCCAAAAGAAGGCTGCTTGTTTCACGAGGCAGCAGTACCTGCGGCGTGTTTCTACCCTTCACGACATCGTGAACCGAAGCATCAAGGCGGGGAGGGCCCGACAGAGACGAAGGAGTCGCCTCCTGTTTTGGAAGGTTCCGGTGTTCCACAAGCAGCTCTACACCGAGGCCATACGGCGGCTTTGTAGAGTCGCACGTCCTGTGTTTTGCTCTTCCTTCAGGACCCGAGGGTGCGGGCTGCGACTATCCGGATGGCGCATGGCATGGAGCCACCGCACTTCCGCAGGGTCCTCTGCTCCGCCTTCATGCTTTTCTTGGAGCCTGCCGCAAGAGAAGCATATTCCCGTGACGTCCCAGGGATGGCGCTGGAAGAGTCTGCACGGACTGGGTCCAAGTGGTCACAGATGTTCCGTCCAGGCCAAGTGAAGTGACGGATGGGTTTAGATTTGGCCCTCAATCGAGATCATGAGTACGAAGCCGAAACTTCAGAGACTACGTGATGGCAGTGTGCAGATGAGTCATGCTTCCGGCACTCCAACGGTACAGATTTTGGGTAGTCTTCTGAAGTGCTTTGTTCCATCACTGTCACAACATGGACTTGGGTAGATGCAGTGTGGCTTGCATGTGGACTTGTAACCAGAATAACACTGTAAACTCGCGATCTCTGGCCGGATTGGCAGGTTTCAATGACATAGTCAATGAGACATTCAAAGTCGGTGCGAATGCACTGACCCGAGACACGCTTCTTGTGGACTTTCGGAGCGCTGGAAAGCACGCCGTGGCCTGTGACCCTGAGGCCTGCATCTTCTCGAAGACCTTCCTTTCGAACAAGCAGGACTTTTGGGTGTTCAAGCGGATGTGAGCATGCCGGATCCTGGGCGTAGGCACGAGTAAACAACACACATCGGCAGTAGAGACGGAGACAGCAAAACGTCACCTGCAGTCGTGCAGCTTCGGTGTCGGGTCTTTGCATGTAGGCAGTCACAGCAGCAAGGACAGGGAGGGCGCCACCCAGTTGCTGCTACTACGGAGACTACGACTACCAGCACCACTACTATTACGACTACCATTACTACTGTGTACCACGACTACGACGACGACTACTGCTACTTGCAGCACTAGCAGTGCCAGCCTCCACTGACAGCAGCATTAAGCACTACTACAACAAAAGTGAAGCTATTTCCTCTTTCGCACTGCATCCCACTTCTGGTTCGGCCAGGAACGAGAGCAGTTTCTGCGCATGCACGTCAAGGAGATGCTTACCTGAGTCTTCCGAGCCCTCCGTGAAGCGAAGTTAGCGCGTGCGCCAGGACTCCAATGGTATTCTGTGGTTTGAGCTTCAGCGAGAACTGGAGAGCATCTACTACCAGAGGATCGACTTCGTGGATGCCGCTCCGGCAAGACTTTCGTAGGGAGGGAAGCCGTTACAGCAAGCTCTGGCAAACCATATGGACTTGGTTGTTGCTGCTTTGTCTTGATGCCCGTGCTCGCTGAGCGCAGCTCATTTGCCAGGTCCAGATGTACCACCCGTTCGCTTGGGGGTTTCCAGACTCCTCCAAGATCGTGACGCCCAATCCGGGTGAGCCGCGCTCGCCTCAAGCCGACCCGGAGTCCAGGGTTTCCAAAGCATGTAAGTTCACCCCGCGCTGTGACTCCAAGGATTGATCCGTTCCATGGCTGGTGTGCTCGAAAGAGCATGGACAGCGTCACAGAGATGGAGGACTGCGGCCCCATGAGCTTTCTGCTCTTCAAGTGTCCGCTTTGACTTGACAAATTGGACACTTTAGTGTCGGTCCAGCCGTATGTCAAAAAATCGGCGGTTGTTTTTGTGACAAGTCGCTTCCATGCGTCTGCAGGACGTGGATTTTCTCTACACCCTCCGTCTGCGCTGTTTCCCCGAAAGCACATTTCAGGCCTGCCTCCGGAGCTTCCTGCGAATCTGGGAGTCGGATGGAGCTTTCATAGGCCGCCCAAGTGACGCAAGGCGCTTTCGCTCGGAAAGATCCCTGCGTTCATTCAGCAGCCTGGCTCTTGGACTCCGCTGTCGACCGGGGACATCCGCCGACATGAATATGCCCATGTTGCGATGCTGCGCATGCTGGTTTGTTCTTTAGTTTCGGCTCAGCCAGTGACGCTTTTTAGTCTCGGTAAACGTATCTTGACCGGGTCCAAGACTGTGGCCAAGATGCAGGCGCGACGAAGTACTCGTAGTTGTAGTGCTTGCGCGCTTGCATGCGGGGCTTTCAGTTCATGTTTGCTCTTGCAGCTCCTGGTTTCTGATCTCTGCTCTTTTGTGTGTCTCGAAGGTCTCGTTGGCAGTGTCGGTGAAGGGAGAGACGGCGACCTTCAACTTGACCCTGGGCAGCGACACTGACTGTGGCAGCCTTTTGGCCGATATCCACGGAGTGCTGAAGAAGCACACCCAGAGCATCCTGGATGAGAGCTCCGACGGAGATCGGAGCGAAGTCTCAGAAAGCCTGGAGGTCCTGAAGAGCATGGAGGAGGCTTCGAAGGGACTCTCCGAGCCCGCAGAGCCCCCCACCATGGAGCCTCCCACGAAGCAGTCTGGCGCTGGCTTTACCCGTCCTCTGCCGCCTCCTGGCAAGGCTGCGAAGCCTCGCCCCAGGCCGGGTCTCTCTCTCTCTCTCTCTCTCTCTCTCTCTCCCTCTCTCTCTCTGTCTCTCTCTGTCTCCCTCTCCCCCTCTCCCTCTCTCTCTCTCCCTCTCTCCCTCTCCCCCTCTCTCCCTCTCTCCCTCTCTCCCTCTCTCCCTCTCTCCCCAGCTTAGGGGGGGGTTTCGTTCTCCGGCTGTTTCTGGCGAGCTGCAGGCGTACGAAGGTGGTGATGGCAAGCAGCATTGGCGAGGTCTTGGGGTGCATCCCCAAGCTGGAGCCGAAGCGAACTTTCCGAGTCTCCGACGTCTCCGACATCTCCTTCTTCGAAGATGTCCGGAACGAGGTGCCAAAAGACCTGCTCTGGGACTCCGAAGCCTCCGAGTCTCCTCGCCATAGGAAGGAGGAGTCGCTTCAAATTCTGCTTCAGCCGCGGCTGCCTGCCCTTCGCTGAGCTCCGTACCTGCAGGCTCTTGCAAAGGCAAGGCCGCCGCAAACCCGTGAGCTGAAGGCAGAGATGTGGCCTGTCGGTGCAGGCGGCTGCTCTTGCAGCCACTTTCCAGTCAGGGCTTTGGTTGTCTCCCGGCATCATCGTGGGACAACAGTGGTCCATCTGGTTTGATTTGCGCATGCCACTGTTTCCTTGGCATCGTTTGACCTTCTGTGATCGTTTTGGAGCTGCGTTGAAAACGTGACCTCCACGACATGTATGCGTAGCCGGCTTACCTGCGCACCGATGCCCCTTCCCTTTTGAAGGCCAGCAAGGGGCTTTGTGCCACTTCGCAGGAGCGCAGGTAAGCCAGTGTGTGAGTTCCATAAGATACAACCATCTGTTCTCTGGGTGTCAGTGAGAATCTGGACACCACGTTCTGGGTCTGGCTCGGTGGACGGCCACCGAGTAAGAGAAATCGCTCCAGTTCACTGGATTTTCCCCTTTTCTCTCTCAGATCCTTGTTGGGCTGGAAGGCAAGCGGACGGGATAGACAAGCTTCCACTAGACTTGCTATGCTTTCACGCGACGGCCTCCCACCCCGCGCTGTTTCGTTGGAACCTTCGCCGCAGAGCAGGATTGGAGTTTCGAACATTGGTTCCAGTTTCGCCTGTTTCGTCGAGTCAGAGGGGCCCATGAGCCATGAGTTGGAGGAAGACGTTCTAAGACCTGAGTAAAGTCAGAGAGTCCCTCGGCGTCGGCTTGAATGGGAGCTCAGCTACCCATAGCTTCCCTGAATCTCAGCTTTTGGACATCAAAAAGGACGCTACGGTATTGTGCATGATTCAGCGCTACATTGCGGCTTGTTGGCTGATGGCTCCTGAGAAGTCTGTGAAGTCTGGCAAAAAGTGGCGGCTTGAGGTATATTGACATCCACAAGGACACCCTCTCCGATGTTGAGGAGGAGGAGGACAGCCATTGGCAAACATGTCTGGGTGCAAACCGTTCTTCTCCAGCTCATCGTTCTTTTGCATAGTGCGCTACCCACATGACATGACCCATTTCAACAGGCTGCTGTCCTCAGAACTTCCTCAGAACCCGGAGCCGGCAGCCAGCTGTCAGGAGGAAGGGCCTGACAAAGCCACAGACGAGGCCGGCACCGTCTGTCCTCCGTGCAGAGCGCGGATCTGCGGTGTCTGCAAGGCTGGGTCCAAGTCCGTTCTGTCCAAGGATGAGATGCTCGATTATGGCGGGCACCTTGAGACGTCACATGCACGTTCTTTGAGGCGATTCTTTCCAGGCTGAGGTCTCTTTGCTGGCGGGAGGCTTCTGGAAGGTTTTTGCTTCTGGTGGCACCTTGAGGTCTTCGGGAAGACCAGGAGACCCTGGCCCTGCCAGAGGACATCAACCGACAGCAGAAAGGCGAATTCCTGTGCTGTGCACCAGAATTGCTGTGATGCTTGCGGATGCTTGATGCAAAGCCACGCAGCACAGATTTTCTCAGCATCACTCTTGGGATGCCGGTGTGGCCATGCCAGGCAACTCAGGTCCGGATGTATTGGATGCGCAGATCAAGCTGCGAGCTTAGGCCGCATGTGCTGGTGCATCGAAGCGTCCGAGAGCAATACATAGAAGTATTTTCATCTATGGCTGCGATCTTATCTAGAATCTATCAAACTGCGGGCGGATGGGAGAAGGTGTTAGTTTGAGTCGTGGCGCTTGAGCCTGTCGGGGTTCCTGAGGCAGTTCAAGCTGAAAGGCCTCAGCGCCATGCGTGTCTTCCTACGCACCCGCGGCGTCCCGGACAACATGAAGCAGTTGCGAACTCAGTCATCACGTTGGACAGCTTCAGCCATGGCATCAACAGCAAACTCCTGGACGTGTCTTGCTGCGGTGGGAAGGTGTCAGATTACGCCCAAGATGGTGAAGGACATGGCAGCGCAGCTGGGTGTGCGGCCGCATCCAGATCTGTATTGGTATTGCATGCCGGCGACTGAGCTGCTTCTGGTCCAGAAGAGCAAACCGGCATAGAACAAAGCGCCCGCCGAAAAGTGTGCCAAGTTGCCTTGTGATGTTTGCAGGTTTGCGCTTCGCTATTCTCTGGCTCCCGAATGGGAGGCTGCTTGCTCAGTGCCACAATGGGAATGACAAGCTTGGCCAACCAGTCGATGTAGGCCGTGGAACGAACCTGAGCAGGTGATCGTGAAGCAAGACACTCGCTTCTATGTCCATCTGCCCACGGATCGTATGCAGATCGTGCACCCGATGATTAGGCCGTGCAGCAGTGTTGACCACAAAGAAGCGGACCTCGGTCCAAGTAAGGCAGTAAGGAGGAGGCTTTCATTCATCGGTCATTGTTTGCAGGCGCTTCCGGGAGCATCTCGAGGACGAGCCCCAAGCCTATAATATACTTAATGTACTATTATATACTACAATGGACTATAATGTGCTATCATATGCTACACTAGTAGAAGACATGCATCTGCTGTTGGTCATAGCCATGCCGGGCAGAACAGGACACTCGACAGAACGAGTTCCTCTGGGAGTCCGGAGCTTGGGCGAAGCTGAGGTAGCGAGTGCACATGTGCCCACGGCTTGCTGGGCTCAGGTATCGTGGGTTCGTGCAGATGAAATGCAGCGAGTTCCGCTGGCCATGTTTAAAAGCTCTTCTGGGATAAAGATGTGAGGTTCGCTGTAAACGCGCGATGCTGCTACTGCAACTAGTCTTACTAGTCTCGGTAGTCGGCGAGTGTTTCGTCCATTGCTTGGCTTCATGATCACCCATCAACGGCAGGTGCGGCATTCCAGATGCTATCGTCTGGTGCCAGCAGTGTGACCTGAGTCTGATCCAGCCGTGTTAGTCCTGATACCCGTATGTCCTGATCACACAGTAAGACAGAGAGAATGGTCAAAGGTACAGACTACTTCTGCGCCACTTGCTTCCTTTCAACGCACAAGTTGGGACCTGAGCTGACCGAGCTTCGTGGGGCACAGAACCTGACCCTGCTTGACGGAGCATCCTCTGCAGGACGGCACGCGGAAAGAAGCACTGGCCGTCTCCCATCCCGGGCTGCAGGTATCTGACGGCATCTGAGGTGGGGGTTTGGGACAGGCTTTAGTGTATTTTAGTATTTTTTGGTATACTATAGTCTATTACAGTTTATTAATCTTTTGTAGTATATTATAGAGTCCCGTTTGGCAACTACAGCCTGTTGCACATCTTGGCTGCCGCACAGGCCGCCCGAATGCACGACCACTTGCCGCTGCTGAACGTCGGCTTCTCTATGCGCCGCCGGTTCCTGGCACGGGACAACCAGCCCCTTGGCAGAAGCAACATCTCGAAACCACTATACATACCATAACATACTATAACATGCTATAACATGCTATAACATACTATAATATACTGTAATTTACCATAATTTACCATGATATACTATAATATGCCACAATGGGCAATACTTAACATACCATAACAGACTATATGTATAGTATATAGTTACATTTAGCACTCTGGACCGTGGAAGGCTATGATTTTTGGCAGGTCCGACCGGAATGGCTCCCGCAGTGGAGACACCTGGCTGTTTTTCCATGCCATGCACTCAGAGCTTCGGGGGTGGGAGGTTTGGGACTTAGGCTCTAGTATACGATCGTATATATATATATATATATGTATATATATATACATATATATATATATATATCTTATAGTATATTTGGGCATATTTGGGACTTGGGAGTTTCCGGGAATTAGGGGGTACGTTATTTTTGGGTCCTTATATTAAGGATCCTGCTATTTAGGGTACTATATTCGGGTCCCCCATTTTCGGAAACTCCCACTTAGGCTGTGAGCCTTGAGCTTTTTGCAGGCCGACACCTTCGAGGCAGCCTTGTTGCAAGCTCCGGAGAAGCACTGGTTTCTGAAGCGTGCTGATCTCAGCCATTTCAGACATGGCGTTTGCGTCCTTGCGGGTTGGGAGATACCCAGTGATATCTGTGCGTGACGGAAGACGGGAGGAGGCCGCATGAAGTCATAGGTACGCGACCGAATATAACATGTGTTCGTACTTTCTGTAGCCTACGTGCATGATTCACGCACATGGCTTCCGATGCACACTGTCGTGTCAGATAGTACCACATAGTGTCACGTCGTGAAACACATGCTTGGATTCGCCATGTACAGTGCCATAGGCGCCGTTGTACGAAGGATGAGCATTTAATTGCAAGTGCCACAGACAACATGGCTTGCTGAGGTTTGAAGCCACCACGACTTGCGCCCACGGCTGAAGGCCCGCTGAAGAACTGGGGAGTAAAGGTTTAGGTTCAGGACTTTGTGCCTCGCTGTTGTGGCTTCGGAGTTCAGAATGTAATGGGGAGCTTGGTCTGCGTCGAGGCTACTACTACAACTTCCGCAACGATGTGATCGCAGATGACCCTTCGCACATCATGTGCTTGCCTTGAAGTAATCTGCCGGTCGAGAAAAGGGTGGAGCAGTATGAGCAATACTAGAAGAGCCCAGCCTTTGAGAACTTCAGGTCGAAGGCGCACGAACAGAAAGCCATCGCACTGCTGCAGAAGAACATCCGTGGTGTCATCACGCGAAAGCGCATCAAGCAAGAGCTGAAGGCATCACTCACGCGCCCAGAACTGCTGGGATACCATCGGGGTGTCTTGTTCTGCAACAGGCTGCCAAGATCATCCAGAAGAGTAAGCGGATGCCCGGGCCGTGGCCGGCGAATGTCAGACGGCTGCCTGCTTCCGCCTTGTTGCGAGGTGGGACGTGCGCAAGGCCAAGACGGACACAGCACGAAACCTGCAGCTCCTCAAAGGCATGACGCTCGGAACCACGACCATCGCAGAATATGTGCCATCTTATATCGACTATCTACGTGTACTTTATTACGATAGGTCCAATATGTATGCTAAAGTTTCTACGCGAGGGACAATCAGGTCACAAACGGACGAGGGAGCTGTGCGTGCTAAAGCTGAGGTGTTTGCTGTGGTATTCTGCAATGATACGTACCTTTGTTTGACCGAGTAGTATACACTGTAAGTATACACCATTGCATCGTGCAGTACACTTCTTCATGCCATAGCATTATGTACCATTCAATCCTGACTCCGAGGCTGGTACATGCGCTACCAGGCCAACGAGAGGCAGTCCAAGATGCTCCACAGAGTCTGGCCCTGAGCTTCCGCGTCTTAAGATGGCAGAATTCAGGTTCGGTTATGTGTAGGGCTTAGCGTGGATACCTGCACAACCTATGCATTACAGTTAGTTCCTCAATCGTAGCACTGTAGTATCGCGTATGGAATATCGCGTATGAAACTTGTAGTCTTAACTTTCTATGTATAGGTACCCTTGCGGAACACCTTCAAGTGGTCCTTAACGTTCGTAGAGCCGAACGAAGCAGGCTCTAGAGAAGGGATGAGGGATCTACTCCGGAGTTCATCTGAAGTTGGGTTGACATCAGCCGCTTTGATTCTGTTTGCTCTTTTTCGCACAGTCGTAGCTGCACATAGTGGTTTCATGTGACGTGGATGTTTCCGCACAGAGGTGCGACGCCGTTTTGAAGAAGCACGCTTGTGCTGTTATTTCAGACAGCCCCATGACCATTGAAGAGCCCGATCGCGAAAGCAGCTTCGACCATCTGCCAGAAGCTAGACGGTCCGTGCTTGCCACAGGCATGCGTTACAGTTGAAGCACAGAGGAAAGACCAGAAATTTCGCGACAGCAGCAAGCCCCTGCATCCGTCAGGTGACCCGGTTCCAAGCAGTCTGGAGAGGTTACATGGTTCGCTGTGACCATTACCGAACGCAGCCGGCTCAGTCTTTGCGACGAAAGTTTGACGGGGACACAAGGAGTGCAGTTGCGATCTCAGGATGAGGGACATCACTCGCTTTCAGGCAAAGTGGAAGGGCACGCTCACCCGGTGACAGCCCAAGTGAGCTGGAGCTTTCTGCAGTGAGGATAGTGTGTTGTGCTGGACGATGTGTGGGACACACAGCGAGGCGCCGACATCAAGTTCTGGTCAAGGCCGGCCTGTCAACGCCTCAAAGCGCTGAGCCACAGGGCGTTGCACTCACAGCCCGGGCGGGGCACAGAGACCGGAGACGTTCACAACGCCTGAGGACCATTCAGCGATACTATCGCGGCAGGCTCTATGGCCGTAGGCCCATGCGGGAGATGAACGAGGCCCTAAAAGCCCAAGCGCTGGGAAGCATCGGATTTGACCCTCATCGGTCCCTGCCTCTCCCTCCCTCTCCCTCGCCTTGCAGGCAGCCTCGAAGCTCCAAGGCTGGGCCTCATGGGGGGGCCTTGGGAGTTTCATCGATTGAACATTCGGGCAGGTGCCTTTGGCTGGTGGTGTTTTGCGTAGAGAGGATACTTCTGAAGCTCTGCCACTTCGCCCAAGTGAAGTGCAGTTCTAGCATCTTGGGTACTGCCTAGAGCCTCCAGACCGAAAGCCTAAACCCCTGGGAAACTTTTAGTCGGCATGGCGTGGGATACCCCTACTTAAGCCGCAGTCCAAGCCCGCAATCCAACAATGGCCCCTGTCTTCATTCCTTTGTTTGCGTATCTGTTTACTGTGCATATATGCACATACATGTAGTTGTGTGCACGCACACATGTGTATCTACACATCCTTGTGTATGTACATGTATACGCACACACACACACACACGCATCTTCGTGTATATATATATATATATATATAGCTGTAAACATAGATAGTAAGTGATTTTTATCAACAAAACCCTGCCTTCTGCGACCTTGCCGCTGGCTGCCACCACCCCATCCGACCCGAGCTCAGCCTCGCAAGCGCCCTCCTCTGCGCAGCTATGGCTCGGGGAGTCGCTCTGCGAGATGCAGGGCGAGACAAGAATCGTGCAGCTGCCTATGTGCCTCTCTCAGGGTTTGCCTTCTTTGGGAGGGGGACTTTGGGAGATTTAAAATTTACTGTCAAGGGTTGCGGTTCAAGGCGTCGAGGTTTTGACCTGTCTTGGGGCAGGTTGGGGACTTGCGGGTTTCGGAACTGCGGTCTTGATTCCTCCGGCATGGAATCCGCTAGAAGGAACCTCGTGGAACTGTCATCGGCTGCTCGACGACGGGATTGTTTCCACAAGAAGTGAAGAGTATCTGGCAGCTAGCTTATCTCACACTCCCTGTCTGTGGGTAGCTCTCTGTAGCGTTTTTTTGTTCTGGCCGCAAGATCCCCTGCTCTTGCTGGCTGATGTGCCTCCAGCAGCCACATCGGTGACTATGACTCCTGTTGTATTTAGCCGTTTCAGCTTGTCAATGTCCCCTCATCTTACGTCTCAGGTCTTCTCATGTTACAGGTTTGTTCTTGTTTCAGTTCATGACATCACATCTCGTCTCAACCTTCTTCATGTCATCTTGTTTCCCCCAGATTATTTCCTTGTCAAACCAATTTGTGCACCAAAGGGCTTCGTCTGATTCCACCAAGCGTCGCTTCAGCTCTTCTTGTTTCTTCACATCGTACTTACTCACGAACTGTCTTGCTTCACGGTGTTTTGCGGTGTGATGTTGTCTATCCTGCCACTTTCTTGCCCCACAGCGGTCACCACAGACACGGAGTCAGGTGCAAGCCCATTGGCGAGGGTACGAGGCCTCTTGACAGTCGCTTCCGCGCTATGGATCAGCAGTAAGTTGTTCAGAGTTTTCTGTGCTTCTTGTGCTGTTGCCCAGTGGCTTAGTTGTGGCCTGTCGGAAGAGCCGGCAGCTGGATAGGCACGCAAGATGACGGCGAGGAGATTGAACTCTGCATGTATCTGAGACGGGAAGCAGAGGAAATGTGAGCAGAGTGATGAAACTCTGCACAGCATGTTGCATTCCTGCGGCCGAGGTCATCATGCTGCAGCGGAATTGGCGAAGATTCCAGTCGCAGCAACATCCCTAACTGTGTGACAGGTTAAGCGCAGTGTCAACACAGTGCTGTGCTAGTTCGCCTTTGTGTCAGGTTAGATGTCAAGGTCATCCTTTACGACAGGATGGAGACTGTGCGGTATGAGCCCTACGTTCGTGGTTCGGGCATGAGCCGATGCACTTGCCTAGCGGTGCAGAATGATCGAAATCTTGCGTGAGTGTTTATGCCACTATCAAAAGAAAGCCGTTCAAGCTCCGGCAAGACCCCAGTGACAGCCTTTGCTACCTTCACCTGTTCCCACCACACCGTCGAAGCTGTACCTGGTACTGTGGTTCTTGTCTCTATGCGGAGTCTTTTTTTTCCTCTCTCTCTCTCTCGCTCTCTGTGCGTATGTGGCTTTTTTTCTTGCGATTCCGGTGGCTCCGCTCTGGTGGAGCTCTTCGTTTCCACCCTCAGGCAGCGGTTTCTGGAGCTGATCCGGTCAAAGCTGGAGGGCTCCGCGGCTGTTCTGTGGGGACCTTGGCCTCTGGGAGCCATGGGCCGTGCGGTTACCTGCGTTCTGGCGTGCTCAGGATTCAGCGAAACTGGCGGCGGCACTCCGAGTACCATAAGGTCGTCACAATGAGGACGCCAAGCTGTGCTTGCCAGTCAGCACAACACAGGTCCGAGTCCAAATCGTAAACCCGAACCCTTACAGTAACCCTTACACTATACCCTGTACCCTCAACCCTCACGCGAGCTTCAGGGGCTGAATTCTGCAGGAAGACCAAGGCAGAGGCCGACAAGCGTATCAGCACGCTGGGGCCTTGGGCCTCTGCACGAGAAATCGAATTTCCCGAGAAGCATCATTAATATTACTATTATTATTATTACTATTATTATTACTACAGTCAGTCTTAAGTCTGAAGCCTTCTCATGTGAGACCGTTTTGGCGACCCTGCTGGGCAGCCGAGGCTTCTGACAGCCTTCTACACCGCAGCATCAGAGATTCGACACTACATCCACCCGTCGGAAGCTTGTTGGGTGGAAGGATTTCCTCGCGTATGCACTGCATCCCAGTTACGATGCAAGCCGGATCTTCCAAGGTGGTGGCGGCATCTGCAGGGAGCACAGTTTCTGTGCCACTTATAGGAACATCGGAACCCTTTAAGGGAGCCCTATGCTCACTTATGGAACCCTTGAAAGACACAGCCCCCCTCTGTTGTTTTCCCTTCCCTTTTGGTCATGTCTCGCAGCTCTAACTCTCCAGTCTATGGTCCAAAGAAGCAGCGATTGCTAAGCTAAACCCCGCGCCCAAAGCCCTGGCCCCTCAATCCTAACGCCCTCCGAAGCCTAAGCCGCAAGCAAGTGGACCCACGTGGTTGCAGCAAATGCAGAATGTCGGGTTTTATCCTCAAATGCCCAAGAGGAGTACGTGTGTTTTCTGGAGCAGCTTACTGTATGGTCCAAGGGTTGGTTGCTTGCGGTATGCAGGTGTTATAGGATAGGGGTTTTGGGGCTTCGGATATTCTGGTTGAAGATTTAGGCCACAGAGTTGCAGGCCTTGGGCCTTGGTTTCAGGCGCCCTGAACCTGAATACTTTCCAGAGGCTAAGGGCAGTGTGCTAGAGTTTATACTTGGACCCCCCAACCACTTAGGACCATAAGGGATTCTTTAAGGGCCCCTTTAAGGGCTCCTTGCTTTAAGGGATCCTTCAAGGGCTCCTTTAAGGGCTCCTTTAAAGGGCCATTGGGGTTCCCGGTAGGTGCCCTTTCTGGGAGTGCTCCGAGCCCAGGCCTGCAGACATCCAGGAGGTGCTGTCTCAAGTGAAGGCTCCTCCACTCATCTGGTGTAGAATGTATATCTCTCTATCTATCTATCTATCCATCTGTCTGTATCTATATATATATATATATATATATATATATATATAGATTTGCTATACCTGCATGGCAGTAACAGTCATAGTTCATACTAGTTATACCATGGCTTATGCCATTGTTTATATTATGACCAATTTATATAGTACAGTTAACGCATGTATGACGCTTTATCGTTTGATTCAGTTGGACAGTGGTTTCCGTTAGACTCAATTCCGGGGTGCCTCCTTCCGTCCTGATACTAAGGCACCAGAGATTCTGTTCTGAGGTAGGGTTCTATGTCTGTACTAAAGACGCCTTAATAGTCACCCATGCTATTTTGGGGGTTCCTTATCACAATTATAGTATAATGGGCCCCAAAACCCCATTCTAATTCTTAAGGCCCCAATGTTATCGTACCTTATAGTAACCCCTATAGATCCCTTCAAAAGGAACCCGATTCTAATTATTAAGGCCCCTACATTACAGTACCCTTGTAGATCCCTTATAGTAGCCCTTATAGATCCCTTCAAAAGGAACCCGATTCTAATTATTAAGGCCCCTACATTACAGTACCCTTGTAGATCCCTTATAGTAGCCCTTATAGATCCCTTCAAAAGGAACCCGATTCTAATTATTAAGGCCCCTACATTACAGTACCCTTGTAGATCCCTTATAGTAGCCCTTATAGATCCCTTCAAAAGGAACCCGATTCTAATTATTAAGGCCCCTACATTACAGTACCCTTGTAGATCCCTTATAGTAGCCCTTATAGATCCCTTCAAAAGGAACCCCATTCTAATCATCAAGGCCCCTACATTACAGTACCCTTGTAGATCCCTTATAGTAGCCCTTATAGATCCCTTCAAAAGGAACCCGATTCTAATTATTAAGGCCCCTACATTACAGTACCCTTGTAGATCCCTTATAGTAGCCCTTATAGATCCCTTCAAAAGGAACCCGATATTAAGGCCCCTACATTACAGTACCCTTGTAGATCCCTTATAGTAGCCCTTATAGATCCCTTCAAAAGGAACCCCATTCTAATCATCAAGGCCCCTCTAGCAGATCCTGGCGCAGCCCCGATCAGGCCTCGATGCAGCGCACCATCGGCCTCGTCCATGCCGGGGTCTCAACAAGAGCTCAGAGTGTTAAGGAACCCTCAAAAATAGTATAGGTACCTGGACCACAAAAGTATGCAGAATAATGGCCGTTTATAGGTTTTGGGCCATTATTTTACATACTTTTGGGGGTCTAGGTAGTTATTAAGATTAAGAATTAAGGCCCCTATAGTAGGCTGTTTGAGCCATGCGAAGTTGCAGCGAAGAGTCCCAGGAAGTAGGGTGGTAGGGTGGTTGCTCTAAGTTTTCAGATGCGCATGAGCAGGAGGCATAGGAAGCCAGTAAGTTTCCTCCCTTCAGAGGGTTTATGGAAAACGGGCTGAACCCTGGATAAGCCGAATCAAGTAGCAACCAGGATAATTCTTACAGGGCGAAGGGTCGTATCACGCCTCGAAGCTCGGACTCGAAACACTCAAGATGAGGTGACCGGCAAACTGGCAAACGAAGAGATTGGCAAGCGAGGTGGGCCTCTTCACGCAGGTGCTGCGGCCAACACACATTCAAAAGATCGGGATTGCAGGCCTGCGTGTCTCTGGGCATGAACATCTCTATTACAACAGCCAGATTCTTAGCATGAGCGATCGGCCCTGTGTGGATGCCAAGTTCTATGTTCATTCCTGACATCGACGGGCTCAGTGATCCTGAGGTGACAAGCCTGATCTGGCATCCCATATGCTGCTCTCCGTCACGCGGCATCTGTTCCGGGGCCCAGCCAAAATCCGAACCTCCGATGTCATGAAAGCATTTGGTCGATGCCAAGGCTCAACCAGATCCCAGCAGAGACGTTCCCCCAGACCGTGGATTGGGCGGGTGGCTCAGAGATAAAGCCCAGAGCTTCTCCTGCCAAGACGAGACATGGTCGTGGCTTCAATCCGGGAGATTTGACCATGGCTTCCAGAGGGTCTGGCATCCACTTTTGCAGTTGAATCATGTTGAATCAATAAGTTGTGCTGAACACGACAAGAGCGGTAGCGAAAGTCAGCAGGATGCACCGGCTGTCGTACCATTCGCGACATGCACATAAGCAGAAGCAGAAATCCAGTCGTAGACGAATGCTGGCAGCCACAGCGCCTATGGCTTCCCACTGTCAGAGACTGTAAGGTATGGTAGATGCAAGGTCGATTCACTGCAGAGAAAGTGCGGCCTCAACAGAGTGGTGTGCTACGATCCTCGACTAATTCTCTAAGATCGCTATCCCAAAGTCCTGAAGTTGTTGGCTCATTGCAACATGCACATTTGCGAGGCCTGCTACGCCATGGGCCATCAAGCCGTCAAATTCGCGCTCAGCCGCAGCTTCATCGCCCGGGAGGCTTGGGAAATCCTGAAAAAATTCGGATACCAGGGTCGAACGTTAGGGCAGCCATGGTGCCCATGGAAGTTATCGTGGAAGTGCAGCTTAATCCGCGCAGATCATTCCGGTGGGCAAAGAGATCCCGCCGCATCCCGGAGACTCTTTGGCCGTGCTCTTGGAGTTAAGACAAGCCAAGGTGTTTCCCTTTCGTAGCTGCTTGCAGAGCTTTCGACTGTCACCGCTGCCATGCTCGCTCGGTGGTTCATGCTGAGGCGACTCTTTGGGAAACAAGTGGGACGGCTGCATCCTCAGGGATATGCCGGGCCGGAGCCGCCAAAACAGGCCCGCGTGCCATCTGCTCGCAGGTCAAGCACCACCATGACTGGCTCATCACCCTCTCAGAGGAGAGCTTGCCATGTCGCGGCCCCAAAAAACAGCCGTGTGGTATTGTCCTTCGGCACCGTCAGCCAGAGACTCTGTGGTCTGGAGGTTTGGTGCTGAACACGCTCCCCGCCAGCCATCGCCACGTTTACCTGACGGCAGAGGTGCGGCAAGCAAAAACAGCAGATCCTTCGCGAAATGCCAGAACCCACACGCAGTTGAATGTCCAAAGCCGTCAGGTGTTGGTGACGATGCGCCAAGCATTGGTTCGCAACCTGGTCCTGTCTGCCACGCAAAGTTCCATGCTGTGTCAAGAGCGCTCTGACTGAGGAATCGCCTACGATCTCCACAGAGGACCATCTGCGTTTTCAAGGCCTTGATGCCACCGCATGGACGCCCAGAAGGTTTGATAATACAGGAGTCAGGCGCAGGTCCTCTGACTTCGCTGCCTCGCAACCCAGGCGGGGGCCCAGATGATGGAGGTCTTGAGCAGCGAGCTCGACCACCGATTGCCCCATGATTGGCCGCGGGCTGGGGGCAGTCGCTGAGGGATGTCAGGAAGAAGCCCAGCAACGGAGCAAGGAGCTAGTGAGCCCATTTTGAGTCTCAGGACGCAGCAACATGGGACGGTGGCAGCGCTGGCGATCGTGCTGAGTCCGCCTCGCGGCTTCCTGCTTCGAACCCTGTTGCCTGAAGAAATGGCGTGCTGAGGCAACCACATGAAGGATTTCAGTGGAGAAAAAGACAAGGACCGACTGCTGGAACATCAGCCTTGCTATCTCCTCTCTCGACATACATCGGTGCTTGGTGGACCTAAGCCAAGGGGAAGCCCTTCGAAGAATTACTCAGCCCGACCATCAGGACGGAAAGCCTCTGTCGACCAAGGCAAAGGCGAAGTCAAAGTCCAAGGCCCCTGCGTGCACTGCCACAACGGGTTCAAAGGTTCGCATACCGGTATTTCAGCACAAGTGTTTCTGAACAGCCCAACCGGTCGACCCTCACTCTCACCCTCGCTCTCACCGTCGCACCTTCGCCCGTCACCTTCACATTTCACTCTAGCTCTCACTCCCACCTTCGCTTTGGCACCTCACCCTAACTCCTTACCCCCACTCTCATTCTCACCTTCGCTCCCGCCCCTGACATTCATCCCTCGCGTTCACTCCCAGTCTGCACTCTTCAGTCTCGCACCGCACCCTCACCCTTCACCCCTCACCGTCACTCTCACCCTCACTCTCACTCTCACCGTCACTCTCGCCCGTCACTCTCGCCCCTCACCTTCACCCCTCATCTTCGCTCTCGCACCTCACCTTGACCTCCACATACCTCCACCCTCCCTCTCATTCTCACCCTCGCTAGCCAGAAAGTCTGAGTTCTGACGAAGGGCGAAACAAGTAGTCCGACTTGTTATCAAGAAGACAGCAAACTTGAGAGAAGGGTCGAGAGCAAGTCTGACTTGTTGCAAGCAACTTACAGTCTTTTTGGTGAAACCTACGCCCTACAGGAGTCAGCAACCTCATGTTTAAATCGTAACCCCAGAACCCGTAATGCAGGCAGATGCAAAGGCCAAAGGCGCCGCGGGGCCCTCAGCGTTGGAGTGACTGGGGCCCTCTGATGTTCGCAGCCTTCGTGGAGTTGAGAGCGGTTATGGTAAGGTTTCGGATTTGAGACCAAAACTAAACCTCAAAACCTGGAGCCCTCAATCTTAAACCATGTTCTGGCCAGCTTCGCCTCGACGTCCGAGGCCAAGCGAAATCAGGGAAGGATGAGCACCGGCCTGGATATACCCAGAGGCCTCAGCTCTGAGCCTGTAGGGCTTGTTCAAACCCCTGAAGCGCCGTCTCCAAAATTTTCTTTACGATAAACAGCTTCCGTGATTGGGAAGGGCTTGCTTGTGAACCGTCTTGTTCAAGATACCTTAAGCCTGCGATGGACGATGGAAGGTGAGTAAGTCAAGGTTTGTTTGTCGGCGACGACTTTTTGCTTTGTGATGCTGTTTCTGGAGTAACAGAACATTCACGTACGCGGCACCTGAACAGACATCTGCGAATCTTCCGGAAGCCAACATCACGTGCGCAGATGGTGACTCTGTGTCAGTGGCCACCACCACACCGGGGGCGTCCGGATCTCGGATTTTATGTGAAGACATCAGTGATCATTAGTGGAGTCGTCAACTTCCATGTTGTGCTCGAGAATCGACAGCCGGCTGCAGCAGGCTTCTTGACACTGGTAGCAACGACGAGTTTTTGTGTTGCTAGGTCGCCAACCGCACCCTTTTCCACACCGTTGTTCGCATCCCAGTTGCTCGTGCCCCCCTTGCCATTGCCGGTACGTGGGTCCACCTGACCTGCGACACGTGACACGTGTAACATGCATGGGGGAGGCCAGAAGGTGGAGCGCTTTCTCACTTCACTCGAGCCGCCACGATGCGGGTTCTGCAGCAGGCAGGGGGTCCGTGCGACTGACTGCAGGACGGTAGTGAGGCAGTCAGCTTTTGCCACGAAGTTGCCAGATGCCTCTTGGTGCCAGAATGTGCTGCATGTTTTCTCCGAGGTTGCTTGAAGACTTTAAGAGCCAAAGCTGAGATCCCCGACAGGTTGGATACTTCATGCGGGGTCAGGCCACGGTCGGGACTTCTGGGCCGAAAGCTTCGAGTCCACTGAGCGTCCCTGGAGGATGAAGCCATGCAGAGCGTGCTGGCCAAAGGCGGCTTCTTGTGGCTGAGATCCTGTGTCTACTAGTATATGCGGTATATAACAAAAGACAGCATACGACATAGTCTCTGTTACTGTGTATACTGTCTACGGATGTGCTACATACACTTCTTTTTTTTTCTCTCTCTCTCTCTCTCTCTCTATGCTCTATCAACTTTGCACAATATAACTCCAGAGGAAATACTGAAGACTTGAAGTGAAAGCTGTGAGCAGGTTCCTCGGATCCGGCCTCCCCGAAAGCTGGAGCAGGCCGGGGGTCTACAGCTCTACTCCAGAGGGGTTCTACTCCAGGGGTTCAGGGTTCAGGGGTTAGGGTTCAGGGGTGGGATCTTTCGAGTTCGGTCGTCGGTTTCCTGCTGCTCATTGTTGTAGTACCAGGTATGCGTGCAAACCGCTTCGTCTCCGCTCGAATCTGAGACGTGCTGGTTGCGTTGCTGTGCGAGCACGATAGCAATCTGCATGGGCAGATTCAGATCGAGCTGTATGGCTGGGGCCAAGGTCACGGACAAATTGTTTGAGATGGCCGACCGAGCGATGCATGATCATTGCTCCTTCGTGCCGGGGCCTCGCCTCAAGGACACTTTTGGGAGAATGGGGCCCTTTTTGCTCGGAATGAAGGCTTGCAGTCGTTCTACTGCACATGGTCCTCAGAGGGCTGCATCTTCGTGCCTGGCCCAGCTCTTGCCATACATGTGCGTGCTGTGCACACCGGTTTTTGCTATCGAGGTTTACTGTATCACCGAGCTGCTGTTTCCATCCAGCAGCCCGGGCCTTGCGCGAGAGGACACTTGCGATGCGGCGTGAACTCTTTCGATTCGTTCCGGCTTAAGGCGATACCGTTACATCAAGTTGCGGGGGCAGAAGCAGAATGCTATTGCGCCTGCGGCGTGTCTCTGAGACTCGTAATGCTGCCTGGTGCATCTTCTCCGTGCTGGATTGCGTGATTCCTACTTTCAGATGCGAATTCAACGGCATTGGCGTGGACTTCGCGCCGTTGGGAACAAAGCATCCCAAGCACGCGCAGCGAAGCCACAGAGATCGTAGCCGTCTGAAATGCCCGAGGCCTTGGGCATAATGCGCAAGGACGACGCTGCATGGAAGATTCTCCGGAACTACAAGGATGGATCGGCAGTACCTGCACCATGGATGGGAGGTCGCAGGCAAGGCGTGAGCCTTGCGTTGCTTCCAGTGCCACAGGCGTGGAAATGGAATCTCCGAGCTTCCAAGCTCCTCAACTCCGTACTCCGAATTCAGAGAGCTCCCACCTGAGCCTGTGGCAAAGAAGGCCACCGAAAGAAGGGGGCCATGTGGAGTGGACTGAGGCATGGCACAGCTCGGTGCACCGGAAGTGGATCAAGCGCCAATTCCTCGGATCACCGAGCAATTATTTGACTTCGACCAGAGTTGTCCTCCGTGAGGTTGCCACAAAGCCGCTGCGTGCATCCAGCGCCATGCGAGGGGCTTCGCGGTGCGGCTCATGCTGGCGGCGGCCTCGGAGACGTTTTTTGTGATCCTGAAGAGGTGGGTTGCTGCGAAGGCTTTCGAGTCAGAGTCGTAGTGCCTTCACAGCGCCTTTCCGTCTGCTTCGCTGTGGAAACTAAGGATCCAGTTGGACGACAGCTGACCGGCCAGTGCCAAGATGAAATCGAGGCAGCTCTCACCGTCTCCACGTTGCTTTCCTTCCCTGCTACTTGGGCTTTCAGGCCCTGGTCGCTGCCAGAAGTCAGATGTGGGAGCCTGGGGGGTTTCAGATGAACGTAGGATTGGCAAGACAAGAACCACCCGAGGTCCGAGACTCGGTGGTGGGCCAAAACGGCCGTCCGGACGGCAAAGGCCGGAAGAGATGTGCAGACCGCTTCTTTCGCCTCGCTTCCCTTTCTGCTGATAAGAGGACGCAAGATGTACCGTTGTTGAGTTAAAAGAGTGTTTAAAGTTATGTGCTATGAACGATACAGTAGTCCGGCATTTGCGGCAGGCTCGGGTCGAGATGGCGCGGCATCGCCAGCGCAGTCTCGATCGGATCCTCATGCAAGGTCGGAGCCCGAGGCTATCCGAGGCTCCCAGGTCATCTGCGCAGATTCCCTAGCCGTGCCTAAACCCTAAAGGCCCTAACACCCTAAACCAAAAAAAGAAACCCTAAAGACCCTCAAGGCCCTAAACCCCAAAGGTCCTAAAGGCCCATAAACATCCCTAAGCCACGCCCAGAGTTTCGAAGTTCTGAGAGATTTTGGCGCCTCCGAAGCTCCCACCAGGTCTCGGGCCCAGGTCTGATCAGGCCCGGCTCATGGACAAGCAGAGGAGGCTGAGGTGCGCCCCAGGGGGGTACGGGCTCTTCTTTAGGAAGACCTGGGCTTCTGGCTTTGGGCATTCATGCTCAGGGCGTCTGGAGGATTTGAGGTACAAGTAGTAAGTCGTATTTTCATGATAGACAGGCTTCTGAAATGCCTTGCAGAATCATTGCAGCGGCAGACAGCCAGTGCAGCAAGCCGAAACCAAGATCCGTCTACCTCCACTGGACGGACCTGCGAAGAGAGCTGTAGCGAGAGAACCACTCTTGGGCAAGGCCATGCCCTGAATCTTTGTGGAAGTCTGCTCTGCGCGGCAGGGTTTCACCAGCCCCTACAGTGTACACATGCTTGTCTCATGTTGACAAGCACCTTCCAAGCTTCCACGGAGCGCTGGAGGACTGGTTCCGACCAAGTTGTCAATGCACAGCCTGACGTAGCTAAATGACTGTTAAATTTTTCAGTTGTGAGCATTTATGGGCAACTCCAAACGCAAACAGTAGCTCTTCGTCCGACAAGCAGGCCCGTACGTAGGGTAGCCTCACGTGAGAAGGCGGAGAGATTCCGGACTGTCCCGTGGGAGGTACAAAGGAGCTCTGCAGCCCGCCAGGGAGTCGGTCTTCGAGCCTTTCATCTTCGCCAAGGTCCTAGAAAGCCACAGTAAAATCGCGGCTGCTACAAAGTATCAGTAGCGTATCATTTCAGCTTCTTCGTTTGGTAGTTTTTACAAAGAAGAATTCTTAGTGCTACCATGCAGCTAGTGCTTCTGCGACGGATTGCGACGGCACTGCTACTACCGCTGCCACCGCTAGCACTGCGACTTTCTACTAATGCGACTGCGACTGCGACTGCTGCTGCTGCTGCTGCTGCTGCTCCTGCCACGGCCACAGTCACCGCCATTGCGCCCCCCCCCCCCCCCCCCCCCCCCCCCGGCCCCTGCCTCCGCCGCCCCCGTCCCCCGCGTCGCCCCGCCCGCCGCCACCGACACTGCCACCGCCACTGCCACTGCGCCAGCAGCAGAATGGTGTGAATAGTGTGTAAATCACCATTTCAGAATAGGAGCGGGTAGCAGAAGCACGGGTCGGAGGATGTTCCTGCGCTTGAACGGCATGAGATGGTATGAGATCGGGGATGGCAACCCTGAGGCTTTGGCGCGGCTAGATGCCGTCGAGCCACGGTACGGTGCGAAGCGCTCGCCCGTCATGCAAGAGGCTTCCGGGACTAAGCTGTGCATGTGATGTGGCACACCCTGCACCTTGGCTGACCCATGAAACACTGAAGCCATGTGAACAGCTCCTTCCAGGTAGAAAAGGCTCGGAAGCACCTCATCAGGCCAGTTCCAGCAGAGTTTTCGCCAAGAGCTCCTGCTCTCAGCTGCAGCCACAATTCTAACCGGTGCCAGCGAAAGGTGGTTGCCAGCTCCTCCGCCGCCACTTCCGCACATAGCTGCGCGCCGCGGCCGCCGTGCTGCCGCACCCCCGGTAAGGAAGATTGCAACTGCTGCGACTCAGGATGCACTGTGCAGAAGTCTTCCTGGTTGGGAGCTCCATTTGTTTGAAGGTCTTGGCACGGCGTCTGGCGAAGAAGGCGCGGCACGCGCAACCCGTGCCCGAGGTTGACATGGAGGACGGGGTGTGTAGCGAGTGTAGCTGGCCGTGAAGTGGCTGTATAGGAGTTGCGATTGCTGAAACATCTCTCTTCATCCATCCCTCGTGATGGATGTTGATGCTGCTTGCGAGGAGGAGGAAGATGAAAGCGGACAGCTAATTGTGCGGCAGGACCCATGATATTCCGTAATCTGGTAGGATAGAAAATAGAACTACCAGAATACAGTATAGTGCAGTATAATAGTACAATAGAATAGAACATAACATAGTATAGTATGATGTCATATACCAGACTAGATAGACTAGATTCCACTGCACTACAACATAATGTGATATAACGGATCATATACTCTTGCAATAGAACTGTGATAGAACATGCTACAATACCTTATAACATGAGACACCACATTCTAATACATTACAATATAGTTTGACATATCATAATATGATCTAATTTGTCCAACACAATACAGTATATTACAGCATTATGTACAGGTATATCGCATGAGACTAGCTGGTACAGGATAAAGCAAGACAGAACGAGATCACATAATACAATATGATATGGGATACTGCAAGGCAGCATACTCTAATATCATGTGAATATCACAATATATCACAATATAGTGTCATATGTCATACCAGATCATATACCCTCACATCACACCCTATCAGTTATCATAGAATAGAATCGGAAAGAACAGAACCGAATACAATACTGGGTGCAAAAGTCGGTTGGGGAATTGGGGATGACTCGGTGATTCCTCACTTTCGAGGATGGCGCAGAGTTGGATGACGACGAGTTCCAGCACTGGAAGCAACGCCTGCGGTGTCCTTACTTGGAGTTTCAGAGGTATTTATGAGTGGAGTTATAAGTAAGGTAGCTATAACTAGGGGACTAATGAGTTCAGAGGACCTTGTTTGCTGGCATGGGCATGCGTTCACTTCTTGCAAGCCCTTCGGACCCAGGTTAGCCGTGGCTCCGTACCGAGCTGCCTCGTGATGGGATCCGTTTCTGCCAACCCTATCTTGCTCCGCCATCCAGACCAGTAACTCCTTAGATTCCAGCCGTGTTCCTTTTCAGTGCATGAAAGCTGGGTATGTTCCCAGTCACCGTCTCACCATGAAAATGATCTCAGCAGCGCATGTTGTCGTATCACCAGGATGACACACCCTATAGGGGAATGTCACTCGGAGGCAGGGACATGCAGCACAAAGCCAGACCAGACCCGCGCATGGACCTGCCGCTCCGGCCACGCAGTTGACCTGTACAAAGAACCCACGTTGCAAACGCATTGGCCTGCGAAAACGAAAGCACGACCTCTCGTGTTCTTTGCAGAGGCTAGCATCGTAAAGCAAGGCCATGATGCCGTGGACTCAGGTCGGCATCAGGGTCCTGATGACATATGTATGCATGTATGCATGTATGTATGAATGTGTATATATATACATATATATATATAGAGTTATGCATATATATATATGTGTATATATATATAATATATATAAATATAAATATATAAATAAATAAATAAATAAGTATATATATATATATATATATATATATATCATAAAAACATGTATTCGATCCGATACGTCTTATCACTGTCTTATCCAGTAGAAGGGGGCCTGGGTTGCTTTGCAGAACTCGCGGGAGTGGGTGGTTACTTGGCTGTTTTCTTTCCTCTGCGGAGTGCCGGTAAAGGATGCGGCCTGAGCGGGGCTGTCACTACCGTTGTTAAGTAGGAGAAATCCAACGAATGTGTTTCTTCCCAGAGTTATACGTGCATACATATGTGTATATATATATACACATACATTTATACATATATATATATATATATACAATACAGCACATTGTAATTTAATACATTATGATAATGCATAGTCGAAGATACCATGCTAGGCTATGGCAAGTATTATGGGTTTGGTGTCAGTCGGGCACGCTGTTCGAGTTCGAGTGGTGTGGTCCGCGCGAACGGGAGCAGAGCCAATTTCAGAACGTACTGCCATCTGGCCATTTCGTGTTTACAGTACCACCATTTTATTAAAGACTTGGGTTTCAACGAAAAACGATTCGACGTGTGCCGGTTCCTCGTTTCGTGTCGCCGTGAAGTGCAACGGCTGTCGCTCGCATCCACCGGCGCCCCGAAGTCAGCACTGTGCCGTTGGCACGCTGTTCGAATCCGTTCCAAGCGGGCTGCCTCATGCCGGCTTCTTCCAGCAAACTTGAATCTCTTGAGCACGACTTGGCGCTGGCACGGGCAATCTCAAGTCTAGCCGAGTCATGAAGCTCCAGGGCGCTCCGTTCAAGGCGCAAGCATCAGACACAATGTGATGCACTACTGAAATGCTCATTGGGGCCGAAATCACTCGTATCTATCCTTGAGCCTCTGAGCCATGTCCCCGTCAGTACCAGCGTATGCACGTCCGCTGTGTACGATTTGGTCAGAGCTTGGGCTTTGTCAGCATTGAACTCCAGTCAGCTGTGTGCCAGCTCCTCTTTCCACCGCTCAAGTATTAATAGACAACGTCGTGACGCATCTGCGTGTACAACATCGAATTATAATTCAATCACATGCATGACGGACAGTTGTCAAATTACTAGTTACATCACCGCCGAGCAAAATGGAGCTCCCCGCCGCACCCTACATCCTAGTAGTTACAGCAAGTGCTGCAAATTGGGTGACCACCTAGTCTTTATGCCGGATGCTCGCGGCTGCGCGTCTCCAGCGTGGTGCAAAACATGTTTCTCGCTGATGCCGATGCCCTATTTTCTGTGGAGGATTCGCCGGAGACGCGCGTGGTCGTCGCAATCGTGGCGGTGACCTTTCATAGTTTGTCGATCTCCGCTGGCAGTTTTGTTTCTCGAGTGGGCTATACTCATTGGAAGGCCCCTGTTGTCAGATGCGATCAAAATCTTATGAAGATCGATAACCACTTACGGTCCAAGTTGCGAGCTTTCCCAATCGCACAAACGGTGCCAAACATCTGCAAGGATCCACAACAGTCCGTTGCCGGAGACTCCTACACCCTAAACCACGTAACCACTGCGCCTCGCCGGCAGAGTTGGTGGCCGGGCACCAGTCCAGGTGGCAGGGTCGGGTCGGAAAGGCCTTGCGCCGTCTTTCGCTGTGGGGTTGTCAGTTTCCACTTGTGTGATTCTTACAACGAGTCACTTTTCGTACCGCTTCTGGCCGGACACCACCATAACGCTCTCGCTGGCCGCTGTGGAACTGGGTCCAAAACGGTGCGTCATCGTGGTGCTCGGCACGCCCGTCAGGCGCCTTGCGGTGACTGCCGTGCGCCATACTAAAGTCAAAGCCCGCTCGCCGCGACCTCGATGTGTCGGTCGTCAGAAACGTCGATGTTCATCTCGGCGATGCAACCATTGCAGGGGACCCGCGCGCCAGCCTCATTGCATACCCTCGCAACGGCCCGCCCGAGGGGCAAAGCCCGAGATGCCAGCATGCCGGAGGTAGCACATGCGGCCCTGTGGTCCCCGAGCGGGTCGAGGTGGCCACGGCAGGCGCACGTGCGTGCCGCAACCGGTAATGGCAAGCAAAGCCGGCGCCGCAGCAGCACCTGGAAAAGGAGCGAAGGCACCACCACTTCTGCGGAGGCGGGGAAAACTGAATGCTTGCGCAGCGTACGGCCCGGCTTGCGACAGCAGCAGCGCTCGAGATGTGGAATCACGGTGACGGTGAGGAAAGATGCAAATCGAGTGAGCACTTATCTGTTGCCAGCCCCGCAAGTCCCAACTCGCACTCGCCAGGACATGCCAGGACCAAGCCGCAGGAGTTCCACTCAGGGGCGTCGTATCCTTGCACACAAAGGCAGGCCGCAGCGTGGCATGCCGGCGCAAGTGGTGCGGCTGCTGGCAGGCAATCGGTCCATGATATGCAGCTGCGTACGCCAAGGCCTCCAGACCGGAGCGGGAGATGCAAGGCGCGTCGCGCGCGGGTTCGGGCAGTGTGCTCAGAGCTCTGGAACAGCAAAGTTGCGAAGCAAACCCGCGCGGTCGCCGCATCGTGCTGGTCGCCCACGGCGGGTGCATGCGGAGGAGTGAGTTTGCGCACAGTGACGCACAAGAAAAAGCAGGAAAACCTCGGTGTAGATCGCCGACTGGGCAACTTGGAAAGCCTTTTGCGGCTGAACGCATGGAACTACCGCAGCATGAAGCCAGTTCCCATGGCCCCCGAACGGGCAATGTGTTTCGTTGTGTGGCCGTGCGCATCGCCCCGAACAAACCATGCTTTCCAAGGCACCGTTTCGTCACTACATGGTACTCATGTTTCCTTGCTCCTCATGGCCCGTAGGAGTTGGGCTGAGAACCGCGGCTTGTGCACCAGATTTCGCGCTAGTTTCCTTCGCTCGTAGGTGCTGCCTTCGTTTTTGTACGGCTCGAAATTCTCAGATGAAGCTGCCCTCCGTATGCTGGAATAGAAAGTGCGTCAACTTGGGCGCCGTTTGCTGTTGTGGCCGCGGGGCACACCTGGGCTGGCGCCAGATCTGTCAGTTCAAGGTCGCCGTTTGCAACTCAGCTTAATCGGCCGGCTACGTGCTGCGGGGGGCACAGATGATGCTTGCACATGATCGTGCTTTGCCTACTCGGGTGCTCCATTTTGCTGTGCATTCGCCAAGGTCTTGGGCTCACGACGTCACGCTGCAGCTACACAATCCAGTGGAAGTTTGCTGCCGGCTGCTTGTGGGGTGGTGCCGGGAGCGCTAACGGCGCAACTGCAGTGGACCTTTCGTGCAATGTGAAACACTGGCGCAATATCGTGCAGAAGTTGCCTTCAGGCCTTTCCTGGCATGTCATCCCCCTTTTGAATGTGATGTACAAGTGCTTGGTGGTGGGTCTCCGACGCACGTTGCACGTGAATGGGCGTTGGCCCGGTGTGGGCATCATTCATTCCCAGTTGTGCACGTCACCGCGCTGGGGACGCTGGCGCAGCATACGTGTTTGTGCGACAATCCATGCTGCAGTCTTTTGCATGGCTTGCGGGTTTGTCCATTATTTGATGACCAGCGTCCGATTTGGCGGGATCGCAAGCATGGCGGTGTGGCCGATGTTGGTTTAATGCTGCCTTCACACCTGTCGCCATAAGTGCGATGCGTTTTTCCTCTTCACTGCTGACCAACTGCAGCAATAGCAATCTCGTCACCCCAATGGTTGCGTTTTTCAAGTTTCCGGAGAGTCGGGAGGACATCCGCGGTGCTAACCTTCACCGCTGCTCGTAGCGCTTTCGCTTTCAACCCATACCATCGACATCCACAGGCACGCGCAATGGCACGATACAGGCAATTGCCATCGCCAATGGTACCAACAGCGACCCGAGGGCTAGCATCACTGAAAATAGCATTACGGCAGTGTGGCTGTGCATGCGGTGCTCCAGCGAGCTGGCATGGGAGCGAGTTCAAGTTCCCGGCCCGGCCCCCGCCTGCATGCGGTGCAACGTGCCCATGCTGTGGGAGGTTGACATGAACTCACACACCGAGCGGTGGGTGTGTAGTCGTTGCCCCACCGCGGGACCGACGCGAGCAATCTCTCTTCAAGTTCCCGCCCAGTCCAGAACAGAACCGAGGCCAGCGCAGCCTACCCAGCGCCCACCACCACCCCGGCAGGCCGTCGCCGATCTTGCCCAAGCGCCCCCACCGTCACTGCCGTTCACCCAGCATACCAACTCCCGCATTTACGTGCCTTTGCTGCTCCACGCAGCTGGCATGGTTTCGCCCGAGACGCGAGACGCATGGACTGCAGATGCTTCCATTGGGGATTGGTGGCGACGCCAAGTGGAGGCCGCCTCCGCGCGCCCGTTTCTCCCTGTACACGATACCATCGCTGCCATCGCGTTCGTCGCACAAGCACGTGGGGACGACCTTAGCCAATCGGCCCCTTTCCAGCGACTAACCGCGTGGGCGGCACCTCGCTCCGCCGGCGCCGAATCCCTCAGTACTTTGCTGCACGCCGTCGCTGTGCCGGAGGAGGGCCACTACTTTCCGGCTGCGATACAGGAGGGGCTGCTCACCCTTCTCCTAGGCCACAACGGCGCCTCCACCTTGGAGCGCGATATTGCCGCACTTCGCCAGCCCGACTTGTTGCCCCTGCAGCTGCGGCCGCCGCCATCTCCGGCTGCGCCACACGCCGGCTGTGAGGCGCCCGCCCCACAGGCCGTCGAGAGCGCACACACATCGCACTGACAGGCGCGACGGACACCGCACAAGCCGACCACGCTGGCGGAGAGCCCTCCCACACTGCCGACGACGTTGATGCCGTAGCCTCACAGGGAGGGGCAGGCCATTCAGCCTTTGCTGGCATCTCGGCTGCTGCGTGGTCCAGCCTCGATGCTGTCGACCTCGCTGCCGAGTTCGGCACGCCCGTGCCTACCATGCAAAGTGTGCCGGCCTTCTTGCGGGCTGGCGTGCGACAAGCGCTCGTCCTCGCACTCCGCGCCCTCCGTGAAGCATACACGCGCGGCACGGCCCTTCAGCAGACCCGAGCATGGAAGCTCTTCTTACTTGCACCGCGCCTGCTGCTCCACCGCGCTCGCGGATCGGGCACAGTCGGCCGCGAGGCGCTCCTGCAGCGAACGCGCGACTTCCTTGCTGGCCGCTGGGAGGCTCTGCTCGGGGCTACGCGCGCCGCCGCGGCCGCACCGCGCGCTCGCATCGCAGCCGACGCCACGGCTGCCGACAATGAAGCAAGTCGCGAGCGGCGTCGGGCACTCGCGTGCGCCAACGTGCCGCGGGGAGAAGTCTCGCGTGCGCGTGTTGCCCTGACTTCAGCAGCTATCGCACCTGGGGCAGAAGACGCATTCGCCGCATTGTCCGATCCTGAGCGGCGCCCGCCAGAGCCCTTGCACGACGTGCCTGCCGCCCTGCTCAACTTACAACCGGATGCACCAGCCGTGCTCACCGACGCCGCCGTCGCTCAAGCTGCGGGTCGAACCGGAGGGAACCGGAGGGGCGAAAAGAGGGATCCGATAGAATCTTTGCTAGGGTGGTTTGTCTAGGGTGGGTCCTTGTATGTCTTTGCAGTGTCCGGGAGTGGTGGCATGCAGATGTTGTCGTGTGTTGCGCGGCAGGCTAGGCCAGGGAGTCTCTGGGGAGTGCGGAGTGCCTGGATAGTGCGGCATGTTCATACTTGCAGCTGTGTGTCTGAAGCGCAGTGATTGTGGTTGTACCGGTGTGTAGACCGGGAGCAGCACGGGAGCCGCCCTGAATTTCGATCTCCATTGATTCATCCGACTTGTTGGACCTGCATTTCGTCATCCCTATAGCACACTTGGCAAAAAGCAGAGTGGGTTTGGCGAGGAGGATCATGCTTTTCCTCCGCCTGCTCCCCATCCAATCGGCCGGGGCGGCAAAGGTGCAGGCAAAGCCAAGCAGATGCCTGCGTGGGAGCGCCAATGGGGCAAATCCTCGCGCACACCCGAAGGCAAGGTGATCTGCTTTAAGTACAACAAGCAGGGTGGCTGCCCGGCAGGCACGAGCTGCAAAATTGAGCATGTTTGCCAACGCTGTCATCATCGTCATTCGTTCTTCGAATGCCGATACAAGAATGCTACAAAGCAGACAAGCAAAGGTGATTCTCATGACGAGTGACTATCTGGCGACACGAGCCAGGCGTCGCCTTCGGTGGGGAGTACATCCCCGCGCCTGGCCGATCCAAAGACGCTGGCCAATCTGAAGACCGCAGGCAAGCGCAGTATTGACAGCGATGAAGCACTTCCCGCCGAAGAATGGCAATGGGAGCGCACCGGTGAGAGTGCGTGGCTGCAGCAGCGAAACGATGATGTCTTAGAAGTCAGCTCTGATGAAGATGAAGACGGTCACGTAAAGCCTTTGCTGGGCGATGGTAATTGGGGCCGCGGGCCTCCTCTAACAGCGAGTCTGTTCGGAAAAAAGCAACCTTTTAGGGATGGCTTTGGCTTATGCTCACCTGGGCGTTGGCTTCCTAGCAGGCGAAGATGTGCACGAGACACACCCTCCCTGGGGTTCGCCGAGAGCCTTGGCGAGGAACTGCTCAAGATCCTGACCAGACACATGGACTTGAAGAGCCTGGCATCAAAACTGGTGCAGGGCAAGATCACGGCGAATCCCTTCAGCTCGAGTCTCGTTGCAGAAGGACGGGATCTTCTCTTCACTGCCTTGGAGTACACTGGTGCCAAGCTTCCGGTCAGAGAAAAGTCAGAAGGTCAACCCTTCTACCTGGCAGCTGTTGAGGAGCTTCTCCGTATCTCGGGTGACCCCGACAGCAGGGTCTTTTTTTCTTCCAGTGTCTCGTTTGCAAAAGGCGTGCGTCTGGGCCCTGGTGCCACCTTGCCCCGTGTACCTGCAGTCTTCGAGAAGAAGGAGAAGTGGCGCAAATACGATGTCGAGAGTTGCACGTCCGGTGTTGACCGAGAGAACTACTTGTCGGCAAGGGGGCATGCTCAGGAGGTTCACAAGCAGTATGATCGAGGTCACACTGCAAGAGGCTCAGAAGAAGTTCGGAGATAGGCTGGCTGTTGCATCGCTAGGCGCGATTAAGAATTAAGAAAAAGGATGGGTCATATCGTGTGGTACATGACGGCACGCATGGCATTGCACTGAATTCGGCCATACATGTGCGAGATCAGCTACGGTCGCCGTGTGCCGGCGAATTGCGCACAGTGTTGCAAGAGCTGTCTGGGCAGTGCATTGGATTGACTGGGGATGTGAAACGTGCGCATAGGCTGTCTAAGATTGCGCCCGAGGATTGGGGCTTACAAGCGTGCAAGACTGGAGTCGGTGGTCAAGACAAGCTATGGCTAAACAAGGTTGGAACATTCGGGATATCCAGTGCCGCGTATCATTGGTCCCGACTCATGTCTGGTCTTGGGCGTGCAGCTTTCTACATGCTGGGGAAAACAGACATCTTCATGCTTGTCTACGTAGACGACATTCTGTGGCTGGTGCGCGTCGGTGAGAACGGCATGGAGAAGGTGTGCTTAGTTATCTATTTCTTTGTGCTAATGGCTGCCTTTCTTCTGGCATAAGTTCAGAGGAGGCGACGAGTTTGGGTGGGTCGGTTTTGAGCTAAACCTGAGAGAAAGCAAGCTGGGGCTTTCAGTGCTGCGTGCTCAGTGGCTGGTGCAGTGGCTTAGTCGGACCTCTTTGGCTGAATGCGTGAAGATTGCCGATGTCAGCGCCGTGTTGGGCCGCTTGTCTTTCGCGTTGTCTGCCTTGGGACACCTCAGGCCCTTTTTAGGGCCAGTGTATGCCTGGGTAGCTGTCCTGGACCATCGACGCAGCTACAAAGTGCCGCGTGCAATCTCGCTGATCTTCAAGTTCTTGGCAAGAGCGCTAGGTGGAGAAGGCAGAACACAGAGAAGGAGCTCTTCCGGACGGATGCAAAAGCTGAAGGAAACGAAGTCTGGATCGCGGGCTGGGCGCTGGATTCTGAGGACACCAAGCAGTGCCGGTGGTTCTCCGAGCGCCTAGACCACATCTCCGCGCCGTGGGTCTTCCTGGCAGGTGAAGCTTATAGGCAGATTGCGTCCTTGGAGCTGCTGGCCACCTTGGCTGCTGTGGTGTCATTTGGAGTGCCGACTGGTGAGAACTGTGGTTTCCTATGCTCGGCAGCCACCGACAATCGAGGAAACAGTAACCTTGTCGCACGCCTCCTCACCACCAAGTTCCCTTTGTGCGTTCTGTTGATGGAGCTGGCAGTGCAACTGCAAGACAGGGGAGCAGATCTGAAACTTCATTGGCTGCCCCGTCTGCAAAACGAGGAAGCCGATTCCCTCACCAACGGCGAGTACAGCAGATTTGACAGCAGACGGCGGGTGAGATTCGATTTGAGATCCTTCAAAGGGCTAGTAATGCAAGATCTTTTGTGTGCGGGAATGGACCTCTACGAGGAGGTACGCAATTCGCGAGCGCACAAGTCAGCGGTGATCAGGTCCAAGCAACCCAGGCAGGCCGCCTTGCGCGTCACTGACCCCTGGCAATGAAAAAGGGGGTGCCGCGCGCTTGCTCTGCGAGTCGGGATACATTTCTGTCAGCGTGCGGCTGATGCGTCGTTTGTCAGCTCTTAAGCTGATGTCCCATGCTGGGTAAGCAACTGTTTTAGCCATGTGGTCAGTGTAGATTCTGGCTGTACTTACCACCACCTTCAAAAGGAGAGAGCGTCGCTTGCTGTGGTCGTGCTTGGTTTCTCGTCAGGGGGTTGCTTCTCCGGGACTGGTGTGCCTGTTGTGTTCTGGGTTCAGGGTCAGGGTTCGATAGGATCCCGCGGGTCGAACCGGAGGGAACCGGAGGGGCGAAAAGAGGGATCCGATAGAATCTTTGCTAGGGTGGTTTGTCTAGGGTGTGTCCTTGTATGTCTTTGCAGTGTCCGGGAGTGGTGGCATGCAGATGTTGTCGTGTGTTGCGCGGCAGGCTAGGCCAGGGAGTCTCTGGGGAGTGCGGAGTGCCTGGATAGTGCGGCATGTTCATACTTGCAGCTGTGTGTCTGAAGCACAGTGATTGTGGTTGTACCGGTGTGTAGACCGGGAGCAGCACGGGAGCCGCCCTGATTTTCGATCTCCCGCCCGCCCTTGCCCGATCAAAAATCTGGGCAGGGGTCACCGTTTGTCAGCGTCAGGTCAGCGTGCGGCTGATGCGTCGTTTGTCAGCTCTTAAGCTGATGTCCCATGCTGGCTAAGCAACTGTTTTAGCCATGTGGTCAGTGTAGATTCTGGCTGTACTTACCACCACCTTCAAAAGGAGAGAGCGTCGCTTGCTGTGGTCGTGCTTGGTTTCTCGTCAGGGGGTTGCTTCTCCGGGACTGGTGTGCCTGTTGTGTTCTGGGTTCAGGGTCAGGGTTCGATAGGATCCCTTGCGGACGGCCAGGCGAGGCACCGCTGCTGGGCTGTCGGGAGCCACGTGTGAGCACTACAAGCTGTTGCTCGACGACGCTGAGGCGCTCGAGCTGCTCACGTACGCGGCCAACCTCCTTGTCGCGGCGCACGTCTTTTCCGACGCGGCAAACGCCATCGGCCTGTCACGCCTTACTGCGCTTAGCAAGCCCGGCGGAGGCGTCCGCGGCATCGCCACCGGCGACACTTTCCGGCGCCTCGTGTCTCGCAGCCTTGCGCGGATGTTTGCTGACACCTTCGACGAGGCCACCCGACCGTACCAGTTTGCCTTACAAACCAGGGCTGGCACCGACGCACTTACAGGAATGCTTCGCGCCGCTGTCGATTTCGACTCTGCGGCCACCGTCGTGTCACTTGATGGCCGCAGCGCCTATGACACGATCTCGCGCACCGCGTTCCTCAGCAAGCTGCACGCCGTTGCCCCGGCACTCCTCCCGTTTGTGCGCTTCTGGTACGGACAGCAGTCCACGTACTTTTGGTGGGACGCCGATGGGCGGCGGCGAACCATCCATCAGGGAGAAGGGTGCGAACAGGGGGACGCCCTGGCACCTGCGCTGTACGCCCTGGGCCAACACGACGCCCTCGTCGCCGCAGACGCGCAGCTGCGCCCCGGCGAGTGCCTCGCGGCCTTCCTCGACGACGTCTACGTCGTCACGACACCGGCCAGAGCGCGCGAGGCGCTTGACGTTGTCACTTCCTCCATCGAGACCCGGGCGGGCGTCGCCGCAAACCTCGGCAAAACCCGGGTGTACAACCGTGATGGAGGGCCGGCTCCGCCTGGCATCGCCGACCTCGGCACGAACGTTTGGCGTGGCGGGAGCGTGGGTTTGTTGCCCTGGGCACCCCGCTCGGGCACCCACGGTTTGTCGCCGCCCACACCAGTGCTCGTCTGCTCGAGGAGGCGAGGCTGCTGCAGGAACTCCCCCTGCTGCCCGACCTCCAGTGTGCATGGCTCCTCCTAGCCATGTGCGCCTCGCCGCGTGCTGACCACCTCTTGCGCACACTTCCGCCCGACCTCTCCGCCGGCTATGCGCGTGGCCACGACGATGCCGTCTGGCGATGCCTGCTCGCGCTGCTGGGCGAACAAGACGACGCTGATCCCGAGGTTGCTGCGGCACGTCGGCTCGCCATGCTGCCGGCCCGTTTGGGCGGCGTGGGCCTTCAGTGCGCCGAGCGTACCGCCTCTGCAGCTTACTGGGCCGCCTGGGCCGACGCACTGCCCGTCTTGCGCGCGCGCCGCCCCGATGCAGCAGCAAGGTGCTTCGCAGAACTCGCTGCAGGTCCAGCTGCTGCTGCCGCCTGCCTGCGTGCTGCCGACGAGGCTGGCCGCCTGCTCGAAAGTGCCGGATGGCAGGGCCGCCCATCTTGGCACGATGTACACAACGGCCTGCGCCCCGCACAATGCGACCTTCCTGAGCCTGGCGAGAGGTGCCAGGGCTGGCAGCACCACGGTTCCCGCGCCTGCTCTACCCACTTTCGCGAGACCGAGCTGCTGCCTACCCTGCTACCCCCTGCCCAGGCCATGCTGCGTTCGCAGTCCGGGCCGCACGCGGCTGCGTGGCTCAGTGCCATACCGAGCGAGGCTGGCTCCGCTCTGCCACCGGACCGTATGCTCATAGCACTGCGGCGGCGGCTGCAGTTGCCCTTGCCGGTCGCTCCACACAGATGTGGCACACACGGGCACGGTTGTGGCGCCGCTGTAGACGCTTACGGCGATCATCACGCCGCGTGCCCGCGTACCGGCTTGCTCGCCCGCCGAGCCAAGCCCCTGGAGCATGCTTGGGTGCGCATCGCGCGCGAAGCTGTTGGACCAGAGGGCCAGGTAGTGCCCCAGCAGTGGCTGGCGCGCACGTCCGCCCCTGACGTTGACCCAGCCGATCGCCGCCGCCTCGACCTTGTCGTCTACGGGGCTACTCCACTTGGCGAGGCGTTGTGTTGCGACGTTACACTCGTGTCCCCTCTGACGCGTGAGGGGCGGGCCCATCCTTCTGCTGCCACGCGCGACGGCGCTGCCATCGTCGTCGCAGAGCGGCGCAAACGTGTGGCCTACCCTGAGCTGCTGCGACCCGGGCCGCAGCGTCTTTGTGTCCTTGCCTGCGAAGCTGGGGGAAGGTTGAGAGCTGAATCCCTACGTCTGGTCACCCAACTCGTGCGACTCCGAGCCCAGCGCGCTCCTGCCGCCCTGCGCCCTGCAGCTAGGCAGGGCTGGCTGCGCCGCTGGTGGGGCCTCTTGAGCGTGGCTTTGCAAAGCACACTTGCTGCCACGCTGCTCGGAGCGCCGTACATCGCTGGTGCCATGCCTGGCGCGCAGCACCCGCCACTCGAGGACGTACTGCACGATGCAGTCCCTCCCAGCCCCAGCCGCCTCGGCCCGTAGCGCGCAGGTTGCACGGGGACTTGGACTTGCGAATTAGGCGGACGTAAAAAGGTGCGTGAAAAAAAATAGCATTCATTTTTTAGTCCAAAGTGGAAGGTGTCTCCAGAGGCACGGCATGGACGCTTGAAGTCTTCGACAGGCCAAGCAACAAGCTACAAGGTTGAACCGAACCATGCATCGATGCCGACAAGCATGGAAGATTAGAAGGTAAGTTCCAACCATCAATTGCAGTGAATCAACGATCCGGAGCAATTCTTCTGCAACGAATGACGCCGCTGATGATTGCCTTGAGAACCTAAGGTCATTCGATGTGCTTCCCAATCTGTTTGTCTATGGCATTGCAAAAATAGCTTCGGGGCGTCATCCACCAAAGCACAGTCTCATGGTGCAATGCAATTTCACCTAACGAAAAGAAAAACCATTGCGATCCCTGTTCAGGTGTTGTTCGTTACGTGTCAATAAGCTGTGGAGGGTTACGGTGAGGCCTGTCATACACCCTGTGCATACCACACTGCGTGTACTGTTTCATATTGTTTCATACCGTTCCATGTTGGACCATCGCTTTAGTCCCCTTGGCTGTTGGGCTGTACGGGGCCTTCCCGCTCACTCCCACAGAGTTGATGCCTGCTGACCACCAATCGCGGGAGGCTGCGCAACTGAGCACTTGTTTCTCGCTTTCGGGGATGAGGGCTTGGGGCTGAGGGCTCAAGGTTTAGCATTTGCGAGGGGATCACAGCAGATTCGTGGGATTTGGTGGTATCTTGTGGTGTTCGCCTGATTGATCTGTTGGTTAAGCTCTTCTGGCGCTTGTGGCCACCGCCGCGAAAACATTCACACAGGTGTTTTTCATTTTCGGACAGTTCTGATGCCAAACCGCCAAAACTTCGTCTTGCCTTCACCGCGTTCCCCACCTCCCCGGCGGTTGTCGTGCCATCGGCGCATCTCCGCGTCCTGCTGCTCCGGCGCCTCCGGCTTCCCCGGCCTTGCGCTCCGCACACAAGCTCCTGCCATTGGCACCGTTCAGCCTGGGCCATTCCGGCTTCCTTGCCTCCCGGTCTCTTCCGCTGGGGCATGCTATAGCCCGCGTCTGCCACGAGGCCAGAGCGCAGGTAGTGCGGAACGTTCGGGTTGCCAACATGAACACCGATGTGCCTGTCAGCGATGCACGCCGTATTGAGGTAGTCGCCAATGGCTTACCCACGTGTCGGGAATTCGGACTGCTCGCTGTTGCTGCGATGCGCGCCTGCGCAGCCTCCTTGCTCGAGCTCCCGCCCACCGGTGAGGCATGTGTCGCCGGTGAAGCGCCAGAACTGCACGAAGTCCTTGCTGACGTGCGGGGCAGCCCCCCGCCAGCGACCAGCCGCTTGCCAGCGCCCACCTCGCACATCCTCGCACACCGCGTGAACGGCTCGCCGTTAGCTCCGTCGGCAGCTGCGTAGCTTGCAGTTGCACTGGGGTCGCAGTCAAACTGGTCACAAAAACGGTGCGTAATAAAAATGTATTTTTTCCTGACATATTTTTTCTGCTGCCTTTGGCGTGTGTGCCTGCATCCTTGTACGCCAACTGCTTCAGGTAGAGGAGGAGCCCTTGGGCCGAAGCGGGAGACGACTCGCCCCGGTGCCTTCGGGATCCTTCGGGGATGTCCAGCACCCTGTCCACGTCGGGATCAGCTTCCGGTCCAGCTCCGGCCGACCTAAAGCCGTGCCCGCAACAACCT